ACACCTCATTTAAGATTTGAAAATCTTGCTTGCATTTATTAACCTACCTGGGTGATTGTCAAATTTTTTGAATACATATGTTTCTATCTTTCACATAGGTAGGAGAAATCTTGAAATTTTTTTTTCTCAAAACATCATTTTCCATACTCATTTCCTCCTTTTCTGCGATTCCAATTCCCTGTAAAAGACTGATAAAAGCGGATATGAAATTCTGGAAAGATTTGTAAGCTCTAAGTTGAGAATATATGATCTAGAGAAGATTACATTTTTTTCAGTTATATTGGAGGTATTATTGTTTTAGGATCAATTTATAGATGAATTTCTTGGATTTGCTGCTGTGGACCTCCAGAAGCCTAAACTTCACATGAATGGCAAACACGACATCCGTGTGTGTGTGTGTGTGTGTGTGTGTGTGTGTGTGTGTGTGTGTGCATGTATATAGTATCTGCATACATCCTTAAAACCTCTGAACTAGGAAAGAAGAAATTACATAAAAATTTCTTAACATACAAAGATCTATGTAATGGATAAAACGAGATTAGCTATTTGTAGGCTTCAAGCTAAAGGCTGGAATATGTTTTTGTTCATTTAAAGCCTTCAGGAATTATGTGAAATATTATTGTTTCCCATTTTAAAGATGAGCAAACTGAAAAGAAATGGCAGTGTGAAGCTCAAACATTACCTTTGCCCAAGACTTCTGTTCTCATCTTCCCTACTTCTTCCACTTCCCCAATTACAGCATCTCATTTTCAGGTGCATTATATACTTTGCTCCGTTTTCCTTTGCTAGTGTTTGTTTCCTACTAAGAATGCAAATTTACTGAAAAAAAATGCATATACAGTTACAGCAATGTTTCTATTGCCTAGAATATTACCTACTATATGGACACTCAGATATTTGCCAGTATTTAAACATCAAGAGTTGCTCTGTGATTTTTCCTATACCATTTGACTTCTGAATTTTATTTTACGAATCTGTGACAACCGTTTGTCTTTAGCTCCTTAAAGAAATTTAAAAATTGTCAGCTTTATTCTTTCAACTATGTTGTGTCTGAAGTGAAAATGGTTGTCAAATAAATTCCAGCATAGAAAGATGTTTCTGTGTTTTTTTGTGCCTGCAAAAGCACGTACTTGCAAAAATACTTGTCTTCTAGAAAATTAAATGTTACATGAAAGTTTACAGCAATTTATGAAGTGTTGTTCCAACGAGATGTACTTCAGTTATGATTCTGTTGCTATTTGTTAAGTCACCAAGTTATACTCATATTATCAACAGAGGACACTTACAACAGGCAGAGAACACAAAAATGATTGTAATCAAATAGTCTGCCTCAGGGTTTGCTCACCACAGTATGCAATTTGCTTTTGGACTCAGTTTGGTCACATACTCCTTCTCCAGACACAGCCCACACATGCAGAGTCTCAAACACTGCCTACAAAGGCAGCATGAGAGGAAGAGAAGGAGGACAGAGGGCAGAAGGCAGAGCAGTAGATTCGGAGAGAGGGAAAGAGACATGAGTAGGCACGTACGTACGTGTGCACTGGGGAGTGAGGAGTGAAAAGACAAAGCAGGAGAGATGTCAGAAGTTTCAAAGCAGATGGAAGAAGAAAAGCAGAGAGAAAATATATTACAATATTACAACAATTCACAGATGTGTCCCATGAAGTTTGCAAATTCTCATTTAGCTTCAGAGGAAAATGAAGGGTAAATAAAAACGTTATGACAATTGAAGTCTTGGATTGAAACGTAAGAGACTTGAGAAGACAGTTACGTACAGTACCATGACTGTTTTCATCACCATTCTGCAATCTTGTACTCTTATTTTAAATGTATAATCGTTTATATCCTATTACAAACCTTCAAAATAACTTACCTATGTAAATTTTGCATGTTGAGCTCATTTGCTTAATATATAGACTTATATATATATATTCACACTCAGCTATAAGAATGCCATATACCTGTGCATTTCTGTCTTGGATGATAATGTAGGATTTATTACTCTATCTTTACAGGTACATGAAGAGATCAGTCTGATCTATAGTAAAAATGACTGCTTATTTAACATCCTCTGTCTCATTCCCATTGAAAATTCATTTAAGGGAGAATAGTCTTAACTTCTTTTCATTTTCTTTGTTCAGAAAGTAATGTTTTCATCATTGCATATGCATTTACAATCTTGATAACTGGCATAAACCAAGCAGTATACATAGGAATAAATACAATGAGACTTAGAATCACTTCCCCACTTTTATTCACCAGGGTAAAGGAAGACGAAATTACATACACTTAACTAATAAAATTTTGTTTCTTGAGTAAGGTTTAGGTAATGTTGTACAGATTAATTTATGCTAACCATAGAAAGCTAACAAGAAATATGTCTCACATATATTCCTGGTTAACTTTGGAAGGGTCAGTTCCATCAGACTCTCATGGAGTCATTATAAAATGACGGGTTGAGTGTAATTTGTGATGCATTCCCATGTTCCATTTCTGTTGTGTGCATTTGCCAGATCTCTACTTTGTTTCCTAATTCAATGATGCTAAGGCAGAGTGAAGAGTCACCTTGGATGAGAGAAATTCTGCAAAACATAGTGTTTGTAGCAAATCACCTACTGTGCACTTGATCTGGCACAGTCATCCAAGACACAAACATTAGGATGTTGGGTTTGCTTTCATGCCTTCATGGTGCTATATGGAGACCAGGTGAATGGAGCAGCAGAGCTGGGTTACCAAGTTGGAGACACAGGTGCTGAGAAGACAGAGGAGGACCTAGTAGAGGACAGCAACCAGCTGCATGAGACCCTCTTGGAGAGGCTGCGGGTTCTGGTGATGTTCCTGGAAAAGCTCTGGTCTGCAGCCAGGACCACTTTTAATATCTTTCTCTCTGTGGCTAGTAATGTTTACTGATTTTCCAGGATAGACTTGTGGGTTGGGGCCACTTTCTTTATGATTCTGGTTCTTCCCATTGTCTCTGAGAAGTTGCAAATGGAGCATCAACAGCAACTACAGCAACAACAAATACTTCCAGAGCCTATTCCAGAGCCTATCTGGAGGGAGACCAGGAGTTCTACCGTTATTCCCCGGAATGAGTTAGATACTTGCTGCGATGTTTGAGCTGCCTTGATGGGAGAGGCTTGAAAGTCAAGTGTTTTGAACAAAGTTTTAAATATTAACTCTGGCACATTGCTTATTCAAGCTTTGTGGAGAGAATTCCCCAACATTGTTGCAGAAACCCAACTTGGAATTGTGCTCTCCAAAATGTTCTAAGTTCTTGCTCCTGTCTTCATTCTGATACCAGGTGCAGCCACATTCATGGTTACTTCAGCTGTTAAATGTTTAAATGCCTATATATATATAACTTTTAATGTTATTTTCTACGATGTAGTCGGATGGAGGAAGAGGAGGTGAAGAAGGATTCCCCATTTTCATACCACCCCTTTCACTAAATTGCAACTAATTTGGAAGTTCTCCTTACTATGTTTTATGGCTAGAAATGATGCCAGGTGGATGAAAAGGTCTCTGACCATTAATACATTGTTTTGCTTTATAAAGAGAGATGTCATGGAGGAAAATGTGAAACTGACAAAATGCATTACAGGTATAAGGCTGACATTGAATCCCTATGTATTTGGGAGAAGAGCGAGCCAGCCAGCTGTACCTTCTACCACAAGATGGAATAACGGGAACTGTGGAGGACAGAATAGGAGCTCATTACCAATGCACATTTTGCCTATTAGATCTGGCATGTGCATTTTTGTGTTAAAATACTTTAAATATGCTTCCAACTGAAAGTGTCAAAAATAGTTCATAAAAAATACATCTTATGAAAAGTCTGTGCATGGATTTCAAAATGGTTTTGCATCAAAATAAATTACATTTTAATTCCATGTTTTTCATGAACAACTTGAAGTTCCCTCATAGCTTTCTATTTTTGAAGCAGTGAGGACTGGGACAAACATCTCTAAGCTGTCAGAATGTAACTGTTGTGATCTGTTGGTATGCACGGGCTGCCTCATCTACGCAAATAACTGCTATTGTTCAGTTTTCAGATGTCCAGTTTGGAACTGGACATTAGGAAATAAATTATATAATGGTCAAGGACGGGCAAATGACATGTAATAAAATGTCAGTGAATCCAGAAGACAAGTTATGAAGCAATTCCTCATCTTCAAGAGAAAAGAGGGAAACGAGTTTGAGAGCGTAACAGAAAATGGTAGCACAGGCAATGGGTAGAACCGCTCTCTTCTGTAATCATAATAGGAAAATTTCACTAGTATCAGTATTATTTTAATCACAATGAAGGAACTCACATGATGGCTTCAGTCTCTGTTAACTAACAGCGAATAAATGACCAGAATGGCTGTGAGACATAAATTTGATGTTTTGGTCTCTTGGACACTTGTAAGTAAAAGGTCACTTGTTTCCTATGTAATAGGAAATAAAGTGATGTTACAGTCAGCGGCCCACATTTCATCCCAGCACAGAAACTCAGAATTGGGTCAAGCGATTAAGGTTTGCCTCAAACTTTCACAAGAAGAGAAAGAAAACTGTGAGATATACTTGTAACCAACAGAAAATGTTTGTCCTAGCTATGTTCTTATCAGGAAAAACACATTTAGCCATCAATACACCATTTCAAGGCCTTTGGTAAAATAATGTATGGACAAATGCAAAATATAATTTTATTTACCATAAACTCTTTTTACATACATTCAGTATAAAAATATTCCACCTTTACATGTGCTGCTCATTTTAAAAAACACAATTCCAAACTAACTGGCCTTTTTGTTACAAAAAAAAATAGTAGTTTATCTGTGTAAGCAAATGGTTCCAAACCATTGTTCTTACATCTCTTTTAACACTTTTGGTCTGTGTGCTCTATGAAAGCAGAACTCACCGATAGCCGGGATACTATTCCAAAGAAATTGCCTTGAAGTATATAATATTTTTGTGGTTGGAGTGCTAAATCTTGTTTTGTGGTCTAATAAACTGTAGGGGGCAAAAAAAAAAATTTTTTTTTTTTAAGTTCTTGGTCCTTCTGACTTTAAATGAAAGTCAGAAATGTGAGTGCTACTAGACTTCCTCATTGTGCCTCTCTAGTCACGTGTTCCATGTGGTAACCTCATTTTCAAAGTCCCATATGAAGTTCTGCTTTCCAAGTTGCTATCCCACCAGTTTCCTTGAAGTCAGACCTGGAGTGGGTAAACATCCTGGAAATCGTTGCCTTCCAATTCAGCAGGATACTGATGGTGTTATTTGATATTGAAAAAGGAAAGAGGTGTTAGACTTATGCTCTTACAGCCACACAAGCTTACGTTGGCGTGAATGTTATTAGTTTGTGGGCAGTGCGACTCGATGCTCAAGCAGACTGTGACATGCTAACGAGTGCGCCTTGATTGGTAGGCCGGTATGTCGATAAGCTAGAGACCAGCTGCTTATGCTACTATTTATGGATCCACGTGTGCCTTTCAGGGACATGAGGAGAGAGGACCGTTGGGCACACTTTCTAGCACAGTCACTACGCAGCTGCTTTTGGAGTGTGGTGCCAGGGCCCTGCTTGCTCCCTGTGCAGGAAGGTTTGCTGTTGGTAAAGATGGAGAGCATTGCAGACATCATCTTCCTAAAGCTGTACCTTGTTCTAGGTCCTTCATGAAGTCTCTACAGACCCCAAACCATTCCTAGGAAACTGGTTTCATTAGACTCTCCCCAATGGTTATTTTGTTCAAAATCACCAGTTTGAGTGAAGAGGAGTCATCTGTCCACACAATGGATGTGGATGAACTTTTCTTCTTGACTTTGAAGATGGATTTCCTGCGGTGTTTGTGCATGAGCTGTTTCAACTTGTCCTTAAAAACACTCGTGGTGAGGGTGTAGAGGATGGGGTTCAAGGCACTGTTTACTGGAAGGAAAAATATCACTATCCAGGAAGTGATCGTGCCTGGAAAGGAAACAAGATGTGAAAAAAAAATTAGGAGTTGAGATTTTAAGCAGACATACAGCATGAACCACACTTTGCAATGGATTCTACCTCTGCGTAGGCTGCCTGCTACCCAAGGGAATCCTTGTGTTGACAGTCACAGGAGCTATGCATCCCAGTTCTCTCATTTAACCTTGCTGAGTTCTAATCGCTCATTTGTAGGCTGTTGTGAGTCTAAATAAGATGAAATATGTGGGTACACTTTGTGAACTCTAATTTTCAATGTAATAGTGTTTTTGGTAACCATTGCTTCCTTTTATTGGAAGATAAGAGCATAAGGAACCTGTTCCTTTTTCTTTTTCTTTAAAGATTTATTTATTTGAGGGCCAAGTGCAGTAGCTTAGCAGCCAAAGTCCTCACTTTGCATGTACTGGGATCCCATATGGGTGATGGTTCGAATCGTGGTGGCCCCACTTCCCATGCAGCTCCCTGGGAAAGCAGTTGAGGATGGCCCAAAGCCATGGGACCCACATGGGAGACCAGGAAAAAGGTCCTGACTCCTGGCTTCAGCTCAGCACAGCTCCGACCATTGCAGCTGCTTGGGGACTGAATTAGTGGATGTAAGACTTTCCTCTCTGTCTCTCCTCCTCTCTGTATATCTGACTTTTCCGATAAAAATATTTATTTTTTCAGGATTTATTTATTCAAAAGTTGGAGAAACTTTAGAAAGAAGGAGGGAGAGAGAGAGAGAGAGATCTTCCATCTTTTGGTTGACATATCCCAAACATACCCTACCTTTTTGATGGCTGCAATAGCCAAGGGTGGGCCAGCTGGGTTTCCTAAGTGGATGCAGGAAGCTAACATTTGGGCCATCTGTCACTGCTTTCCACAAGCTATTACCAGGACACTGCACTGGGAATGGAACAGCTGTGACTTGAAATGCCACTTACAGATGGGGTCCTGGCATTGCAGAAGGTAGTTTCACCTGCTATGTCACAATCAGAGTGAAACAATTCTGAATATGACAAAATTCATAAAACTTACGGTTCCTAAGCCAGATCTGACTTTGATCTTAGCTCTTTCTAGTACTTGAGGCTTACTGCCCTGTGCTGGTTTCCCCCCCATCCTATCAATGAGATCAGAAGGGCACAGAGAGATATATCCTTGAAACTTCCTGAGTTTCTTTTGTGTGCAGCCTTTTAATGCTAAAACAATATTTAGGAAAAGAGGCCACAGAGGTTGGCCATGAGAAGAAACTTGCAATGACACCATTTGCTCTTTTAATTTAGAAAAGGATTGTGTGTGGGGTGTGTGTGTGTGTGTGTGTGTGTGTGTGTGAGTGAGAAGGAGAGAGAGAAAAGAAAGAAAGAGAGGGAGAAAGAAAGAAAGAGAGAGAAAAAAGAAAGACAAGACAAGACAAGAAAAAGGAAGGAAGTAAGGAAGGAAAGATGGACGGACAAGTCTTTTCTCCATTGGTTTACTCCCCACATGACCTCAATAGCTAGTGCTGACCCCAAGTTCCATCCAAGTCTCCCAGATGGGTGAGAGAGGTCCAAAATCTCATTCATTTCCTGCCACTTTCCCAGGTATTTCATCGGGGAGCTGGATAGGAAGTGGAGCAGCCAGAACTCAAATTGCACTCTGAGATGGAATGGTAACAGCTAGGGCTTAACCTACAGTGACATAATGCTGGCCTTACTGTTTGTTCCCTGAGGACGAAATGCTTATCCTCCTCTCTATATAACCTTTTTTTGTCAACATATATCTCTTAGGCGCGTGGACAAATAATCATGTTCCCTCGACCTGCTCAGAACTGGTTAACACTTCCTGGACTGTGTTCCAGGAGCCATAGATTAGGATCTGTGAATTCCCATTTGAGCACCAACTTCTGGCATGTTCTAAACTCATTACACCTGTTTTCTCCCCTTATCTTCAAACTTTCAAAGTATTGCTTATTCAGGTGAAGAGCAGAACATCGGGGTCAAGGGTACTTTTGTCTCCCTACCTCTTTCTCCACCCTGTAGCTTTTTTATCCTTTGACACATTGTTGTTTTGCTTTTCTCTTCATCATGTTGACTTAACTCCTTGCATCCCTCAATTCTGTGTCTCTTTCATTTAGTCTCTTTTGATCTAAGCTTTCCTCTCTTTCCTTTTTTCTTCCTGCTTCTGTCTTGCCTACATTTTCCTCTCTTATCTTCATCTTTTTCCTAAAGAATTGTTTGTTTGAAAAGCAGAGTTAAAGAATGAGAAGTGTACACGCACACACACACACACACACACACACACACACACATACACACACACGAGATAGAGCTTGAGCGAGATATTCCCTCCACTGATTCCCTCCTCAGATGGCTGCAGCAAGAGAGCAGGGCCAGGCTGAAGTCAGGTGCCTAAAACTCCTTTCAGGCTTTCCCTGTGGGTAGTCGGGACCCACGTATTTGAGCCACCTTCCCCAGTTTTCCCAGGCACGTTAAAAAGGATCAGGATCAGGGGCAGCCAGTATTCAAACCAACTGTCATATGGGAGGCGACAATCACACACAGTAGCTTAACCTGTGGCACTACAGAGCCGGAAAAAAAAAATGGGTAGGAAAAAGAAATCTATAGTTATCCAATTTTAGATGAATTTAAATGTAATATTATTTGTCTTCAATTTTAAAGTTAACTGGTCTAGACAGTAAAGAGTTGAAGAAAAAGTAGCTCTATTTTTCTGTTGTGCTCCAAATGGAAGTTTGATGCGTTATTTGATCCCAATCTGACAGAATGACTCCTGGTTACCCTTGCTTTCAGTGAGGCAAAGACAAACAGGTCCCCCAACTCCACATGTGAGTTCTATTCCAAATGAGGCATCCTATTCTACTCTGGGGGAACCCTAATTTAACATTAGCACCTGAGTCCTGAAGCAGGAGGGTTAATGCTGGCTATCTCCTTGGCTGATCCAGGTACTGTCAGTGATTTTGACAGCCTGCGTGTGTTCATGCTACATGACCCCTCCCTAGCTCAGCAATAGCAGAAGCATACATATTGAATAACACCTTGTGAACAGCACTGTGGTAAATGCAAAGATGAAGAGGTATGGTTTTTATACTCTTGAAGATTATCCTTGGAAGGGATCACCCTCCAAAAAAAAAAAAAAAATGTCAACAGCCAGCAAGTGGTGAAGATTAAGTTAGGACTTTACATCCCATCTTGGTGTGCTCAGGTTTGAGTTTGAGCTTCATTTTCTATCCCAGCTTCCTGATAATGCCATACAAATACTAGGGTCCCTGCCACGCAAATGGGAGACATGGATTGAGTCCTGGGCTCCAAGTTGCAATCTGATCTATCCCCAGCTGCTGTAGGCCTTTGGGGAGTAAACCAGCAGATGGGATCTGACTCTCTTTTTCCTTGACTTTCAGACAATGAAAACACGTAAGAAAAAAATCAATATTAAAGTAATGCTGAGGGACTACTGCCAACATCTCATATAAAAATCAATTATGGTCCTGGATGTTTCACTTCCAATATAGCTCCCTGCCAATGTTCCTGGGAATGAAGAAGATGGCCAAAGTGCTTGGGCCCCGGCCACTGACCTGAGAGACCCTGATGAAACTCCTGGCCCTTGGCTTAAGCCTGGCTGATCCCCAGCCATTGTGGCCATGTTGAAGAATGAACCACTAGATGCAAGATCCTGTCTTTTATTTGCTTGCTAACTATGCTTTTCAAATAAAAATAAATATCAGGAAAAAATTGTACTGCTATGAGGCAGCTTCAATGGTGTTAATAAGTGGAGCTAAGCACCTAGGTGGGATGTGGCAGGAGTTGAGAGAAGTTGTAACGGCAGCATAAAAAAGGGTATCTCTAGGGTTAAACCTTGCAGAACCAGAATACACACAGGCAGTATTATGGATTGAAAGTTTAATCCAGGTGCAGGGAACCGTTTCAGCAAAAGTTGATGTCCTATCAGAAAAGTAGAGAAAAGTTCAATGGTAAGTGGATCGATAAGTTCAATGGTTGTGGATCATGGCATATAGGAGGGTGGGAGAGATGAACTATTAATGCCAGTGTTTGAACTTTATTCCAAGAGAAATAAAGGTCAATGAACATTTGAGTCCTGTTGTGTTTGAAATGATAGGACATAAAATTGATATATTCATGTGGGTGTAATAGCTTAGATGCTGTTCAAGCGAACATCTGTGACCAGTAATAGAGTGGATCTTCTCTTTATGTAAAACTGGCTCTCCTTGTCTGATCTCACACACTCTATGGCTTCTTCTCTCCCCACCAGCAGGAGCCCCCATCTGCCTGCTGAGTTTCACTTCTGCATCTGTAGCTGGTTGTGGAGGTGAAGTGGGTGGTTAAGGAGCTGGCAAGGATGTTGGGTGGTATTTGGCAGCAGAGCATAGGGCCAGGGCTTACATGACCCAGGGCACATGCCAGAGGCACAGAGGCAGTTGCAGCTGTTGGTCATCTGTGCATTCATCACTCTTTCAGTACGGTGCAGTGCCCCAGTGGAGTGCCAAGATGACTAAGCCCTAATCCCTGTACTGCGTCCACTGCCCAAGTAAATCTTCACTCAGATGCAACAGTGAGCTGAAGACAATCCCAAGCTGTTTCACCAAGAATCAAGCTGAAGTTCTGGAGAACTTCTAAATGGCTGTCATCCCTAGATCCCAGAAAGGGCCCTATGTGAAGTCTTAACCAATTAAAGTGACTTTCTCTGGTTGAACTAGGGATGTGATCAGGAACCGGGCTTTTGGGATGAGGCATTTGCTTGGAACATCTTGTGCTCCTTAGAGCCTACAGCAGCATTATTTGGTTAGCACTACCAACTGTGCGTGTGACAGAATCACAAAGGGAGCTATGGGAAACCAGTGTGCATAAGCCTAGGCCCTCACAGACTAACTCCAGAGGCTAGGGTAGGACCTGGGCATGCATAACTTGATTTTTTTTTTAAATGTGTGCTGCTGGGGTCTGATGAGATGGCTATATTGGCTAATCCTCTGCCTGCAAGTGCCAACATCTCATATGGGCAGATTTGTGTCCCAGCTGCTGCACTCTAAGCCAGATCCTTACTTGTGGCCTGGAAAAGCAGTAGAGCACAGCCCAAAGCCTTAGGACCTGCACCCGTGTAGGAGACCTGCAAGAAGCTCCTGGCTTCACATGATTTACCTTTGGCCATTATAGCCACTTGGGGAAGTGAATCAGCAGATGTAAGATCTTTTACTCTTAGTATCTCTACCTTCCCAATACAAATTAATACATCTTTTTTTTTTAAGGTGTCCTCCTGGGGTTGGTGTGTTGGTATGACATATTCAGCCACAACCTACAGCAACAGAATTCCATATGGGTGCTGGCTCATCTCACAGCTGCTCCACTTCTGGTCCAGCTGCCTACTACTGCATCTGGGAGAGTTGCATAAAGTGCTCTAAGTCCCTGGGCCCCTCCCAGTGTGGGAGACTTGAATGAAGCCCCTGACTCCTGGTTTTTGGCCTGGCCAACCCTGGCCATGGCAGTCATTTTGGGAGTGAACTACTAGATGGGAGTGAACTACTACCTCTTTCTTTCTCTTTGTAAGTCTTCCTTTCAAATAAAAAAGTGAACTGGACTGAAAAAAGAAAAAGAAAACAAGGGTGCTGCTGCTTAAGAATTACTATCTAGTTTAAGTAGAGGCAAGTTGAACTCCTGTTTTACTATTCTTGTTATTCCTAGCCAGATTGTACCACTACATAGTTTCCACATCAGAACACCAAGTAAACAACCCTGAGGGCAATGATAACTCTTATGTTGGTGCTGTAAACATGTATGAAGGACTTCCTACAGGCTCTAGGTTCCGGCCTTGTCAAACAAAGGCTGCAAGGAAAAGACAGTATAGATGGGAATGACAGGAGGGACTGACCTGGTATTTCCACCTGGAAGAGAGAAAGGATTTTCACAACAAACACAGGAATCCAGCAGATGGCATCAGAGAACACTATAAAAAAGAAACGCTTTGCCACGGCCACCTCTTGTCCGATGTGAGTCCTCACTTCCGAGGTCTGCACGGCGGTTTTTTGAATGGAACAGAACATAGTCACATAGGAAAACACAATGACGAGAAAAGCCAGCAAGTTCACACCTGTGGAGGGAAGCACACTTCTTAGCGTATCTGGTGCATGTGTCAACAGGAAAAGATCCTGGCACCTGTGTATCAACATGGTGCCCCCTTCTCTTGTTCTGAGAAGCAGTCTTTTTAGTAAGGCCAGTGGCATTCAGCTAAAATCCCGTTGTCCAAAGAAATAAGGTAAAATAATTGGGTTTTCTGAATTCAAAAGAGATCTCATACACAGAAGTCTTATACAAAGAACTATAGGTTTCTGAATTTCAAGCTAGGTATACGAAGAAGTGACCTCTGGCCTTTTGAAAGCATAAAGAAAAGCTCTTTTTGTTTCTGTTCTCTGTCAATTCAAACCTCCAGGGAATACTGGAATCATAGGCATGTCTCAAAAAAAAATAAAGCCAACTACATTTCCATATCTCATAAATATGAGTAAAATTACCTTGGAATTTATCACAAACATAATTATGTTTCTCAGCAACAGCATTGGTTTTAAGTAGAAATAGTGCTTAAAACAAAAATACAGTTTTCTTTAGTGTGACTCGGAGACCTTTGAAACACAGAGGAGTTAAAAATTACTGTATGAATTATTTTCTTAGGCCAAAGGTATGTATAAAACTTTCCTGAAACATCATCCTCTCCTAAAATGCTGACGTCCTAATTGCTTCCTTTGCTTGATTTTACTGCAATGAATTCTAAATGTGATCATTTTCTTTCTCATATGATCATAAAACTTACACATATTTTCAAAGGTTTAAAAATGTTCATCTGAACCAGGACTCTATGCAAAATTGGGGAAATCTAGAGAAATACTTCAAGTTTAGGATGATACATTTTTTTTTTAGCCAAGCTATTTTATACTCTACACATAATCTTATGATAAGCCATATAATTTGGGATTATATAAAATTATATGCCTTAGGCCATTTGTTAGGAAATTTACACATAAGATGGCTCTTTCGGAGGATGCTTCTTTTGCCTCAGTTCTAAAAGCCTAATTATGGAAAGGATCAAAAGTCTCTTTCTTCTAAATGTACCGCAGTAGTGTAAGGTGTTAACAGGGGAAAGTAGGTATGATGTAAATAGAAATTTTTACTATCTTTGTAACTTTTCTCAAAAGCTATTTAAAAATCCAAAAATTAGTTAAACTTGTTTAAGTTCCAGTTGCTACCCTTCCAGTCTACCTTCCTGCTAATTTGCCAGGGAAGGCTGCAGATGGTGACCCAGGTACTTGGGTTTGTTACCTACACGGGGGGGGGGTGGGGTGTGGAATGCTTAATTCCTGACTTCAGCTGGTCTACCCCTGGCTGTTCTGGCTGTTTGTGCATTGAACCAGTGGATGAAAGATTTCTTGCTCTCATTCTCTCTCTCTCTTCCTTCTCTCACGCCTCCCTCCATTCCTCCTTCTCTTCCTCTTTCTCTCTCTCTCCTCCCCATCCCCAAGCTTTGTCATTTTATGTTATTTACTTGAAAGACAGAGCAAGAGAGAGAAGTGATGGAGACAGAGACAGGAGCTGCATCCATTGGGTCAATCCCCAAATGGCTGGGTGTAACTGCTAGGGCTGGACCAGGCTGAAGCCAGGAGCCTAGAGCTTCTTCTGGGTCTTCCACACAGGTGCAGAAGGCCAGGAACTTGGATCATCTTCCACTCCTTTAAAAGATATTTTAGCAAGGAGCTGGAAGTAGAGCAGCCAGGAAGCAGACTGGCCCCCACATGGGCTGCCAGTACTAAGGGTGGTAGCTTAACCTGCCATGCCACAGTGTTGACTCCAAGAAATATATCTTAAAACAAGACAAAACAATGCAGAAAAACATGTGTTTTATCTAGAGGCTAGACTCCTATAACATGAAAATTGATGATAATTATGACAGGTACATTTATCAAGGTAGGCCTTGATTATCTATATGAAATATGTCACAGATGCTTAACCCTTCTTAGATGATCTCTATACCTTAATTGTGAGAGCCAGCCATGGGAACCTTCTTGAGCCCTACATCTGGATGAGTTCCCTGGCCTGGGGCCCCTGTATTACTTCATCTTTTCCTGGAACTCTCTCTGTTCCTCTGGTTGCCCTTGGCTAATGCCTTCTCATCTTCTGGGCCTCTGTTTGTATTCATTTCTCCTGGAAAGCCTTGCCTTAGTACTTAGGTCTGCAGCTCCTAGAACATTCTGTAATCTTCCTTCATGGCATTTATCAGCAGGTGATGAAGAATATGTTTACTTGTCCGCTGTTCCTTCTCTGGTCTGTGAGGGTCAGATTTGTTATATTTCAAATATCCAGTTGAGGGCACAGAACATAATAGGTGCTAAACAAATCTTCATGGACTCAACTAGCAAAATAGTGTGTGTTTTTTTTAGTAGGGCACCACTGGCAGTCTCTGAGTAGGGACAGACAGAGTCCCTTGGCAGCTCGGGGAGCTAGTGGCAGTGCTCACGAATAAACAAATGGGAAGAGGGAGAATGCCCTGGAGGTCAAAAGAACTGTAAGGCTAAGATCATAACTCAGGGTTGTGGAAGTAAGACTTCAAGCCATGGCAACAGCCAATGGCAGGGACTGGAAAGGAAAAAAAAGAACTTTTATGAAAAACATTTGAGGGACAAAAAGAACAATGGAGCTTGTTAACTGCAAGGATGAGGACAAAAGACAAGAAGGGGATATCACCTGCAGAGTGCATAATCCGGGAGTGGGAGTGGCCTAGAAGGGAAGTAGTGGGCTCCTCTCTTTTTTGTTACCACTCCCACTGGAGGGCAGGAAAACCACGACAGGGGCAGGGGTGGCTAGACAAAAGGGCACCCAACAGCGAGTGTTCAGGCTGGATAGTCGAGATGGTTGGGTTGCACTAGGCTTCAATGACCATTGACATGTATGAGAGCTCAGTCTCAGATGTGGGACAGACTGTACTAGTCTGCTGCATATAATGGTAAACATGGGAACCAAGACAGGGGGCAGGCCTGGTGGGGGTTATTGTGGGTCGTTTCGACTAGGCTGCAGCTTCCACTGGTTTATGTGCGGGCCGAGTGTGTGCTAGGCAGAATCAGGCTGGACTGCAACACCCATTGGTTCATGTGGAAGACAGGGCTGGAAACAGAATCGACCCATCAATTGCAACTACCAGCTGATTGGGGTGATGGACTGCACTGGGCCCTGTACTTGCAAAGTATACGCAAGAATCTGGTCTGGGTTCACCTCAGACAAAGTTTCTTTAGGGATCCCCTCAATCGAATTGCTGAACTCAGATCCCTAACCATGAAAAGACAGAGGACAGAACAAATCAATCAACTACTCCAGCCATATGTTGGCAGTGAAAAAAAGAGCAGAGACTCTAAGATGGACTATGTCAACCAGTGGATTCTGTGGCAATTTTTTTGTGTTTGGAAACATGAACCTGGCAGCAATTCATAACTGTTGAACTACCAAAACCACTTGAGCAAGACCCTCGGAGCATGCCCCACATCAGGGACCTGGGATGGGTGGGAGACTGGGTGGGGCTTCTCTCTACCTTCCCCTTTACCCCAGATATAGAAAAAAATGTGTGTATCCTTGTATCCCTTGAACCTTTGTGCTCTAATTAACTATGTAAAGATTGTCAAAAATATAATAAAAAATGAAAAAAGGAGATATCAAAATGATAAATGCGACAATTCAATAGAGGACATGGAAAAAGACTTAATTCTAAGCAGAAGTAAGACATCACAGAGAACTAGAATGTTTTTCTTTTTAACTTTAAGCAGCTTAATTTGTTATTCACGGTAATGTAGTATGTAGGAAAACAAAATTGTTTCATTAAGCATCCTTACACTGGTGATTTAAGAGCTGTACTTATGGAAAGATACCAATTTTCTGGTGTTTCCATTTAACTAATCTCCTTTTAGTGAGTTTCCACAATTGTTGCTATTACTTCTTTAACTCATCACTAGATTGTTAAAAGTAAATGCATCCAAATAACTTGATACAGTCACAGGACTAGGCACTATCCTAGAATTCTTTTAGGTCAAAGTCACTGTATATGAACATGAAATCAAAGAAATTTAGGGAGACTAACACAACTACCCAAAGATCCTGGACATAGCTCCTTGGATTCCCACTGAATCCCTACAACACAAGCTTAAGAAGAACTCGTAAAATGCATGCCAGAGCTTTTCTTGAAAGAGGACACCATCTTGACTGGCAGTTTGCGTTCACATGTGGACAGTCTGTCTAGGCTGAAATTGATGGCATTTGTATCAACATTATGCTTTTACAGGAAAAAAAAAACGTAATTTACCTAGGAAAATTCCAAGAGAGTACCCTTTGCTTCCAATCTCTTCAGTTTGGTCGTAATAAAGTGGGAAACACACTCCATTTTTTCCATAAAAGTTTCCAAAATAATCCTCATCCCAAAAGGGAATTGCAGCGATCAGAAATCCCACGACCCAGATGCAGATGAGAATGAATGAGGTCTGCCGTCTTCCAGGGCGAAAGTTACTAAAGGGGAAAACGATAACCAAGAACTTCTCCACAGTCAGGTAGGTGAGCAAGAGGACAGAGACTTCAGTGGACAGCATGGCCAGGAAGCCCATGAGGCGGCACTGGACACTCTCCATCCACAGCAGGGCATACTTCTGATATTGTCCTCGGTATTTCATATCAAAGAAGCCGATGAAGAGCAGGTAGACACCCATGAGGCAGTCGGCACCTGTGCAGGAATCCATACAACGTTATGTTCATAACTCTAGCCCCTCTGGATTCAGGCTGTTGATTAGGTCTAACTCCTTCAAGTGGTCTTGGCAGAACTAAGGTAAACACCTGCTAGAAGACCAAGCAGCCAATAAACTTCTCTATTGCTTCTGAAGTGCCACACAGAGTCTGCTTTACAGTTTAAAAAAATGAAAGGGGGAATTTGGGAGTGGTTTTTTAAGTAGAAAACTTTATGCTTGTATAAATCATAAGAGAAATCCTCCATGTTGAGGATCATGGATTAATGGAAGAGAAGTTCAAGAAATTTAGTTTTATAACCCACCAAAAATTCTTCCTATTCTGTCACCTAACGTAACACCCTGATTGTCTCATTTCCATGATTTAACCACCAGAGGCAGGCCACAGAACCACTAAGAGAAGCAACTTTACATTTAAAAAAAAAAAAAACAAAATCTTTCCCAGCACCTTTCATTCATATTAAATGCCATTTGACATATGTATTCCAATAATATATATATATGTAGAGTGTAGCTCCCAGAAGGCATCCTAAATCTACTTAGATAGGAAACATACTTACAACAGAGGACTTTGATGGACAGAGCGTGAGTTGTATTTTCGGCTTTAATGAAAGATCGCATGCCAATGACAAAAAGATTTCCAAAGCAGGTAATGAAAGCTATAACCCAGACAAACACTCTGAGGATATTGTTAGCCAAGAGGTCCTCAAATGAAGAAATGCCGTCAGTCGAGGGCATACATATTCGGACATGGGGAGCATAGGAGCAGTATCGAAAGTTTTTGAAATAACTAAAGTCAAAGGGAAAAAAAGAGTCACTTGGCAGTAATGATACAGAAAGTACAGTTGCAGTGCCGTCAGGGGTACTGGTCTGGGTTAGGTATGGAATTTTGCTAGGCTTCTTTAGTAGTGATTCTGGGAACGTGAGGCTCCACTAAATAACATGTTACTTCACCAGCATCCTTTTCTAAGAGATGAAGAGCGAGACATTTGGAGGGTTGGTCAAGGGCAGTCAGGGAAAGGCATGAGATAAAGCCTCAGGATTCTGCGATTTGCTGTGTTCCCATAAGCTACTCTTTAAGGCACTGTGAAAGGTGGGCCATCAGTGTTAAGTGGATGTCCAGCTAAGGTGAAGGGGGAGGGTTTGTGATACTAGAAATCTGCTGTAATCACTGAAACCATTCCTGTCTTGCTGGTGGATTGAAACTGCAATCTCACTTCAGCCCCCTTCTCCCTGTCTCTAATGGAAAAGGAAGGTTTTTGAGACTAAGAAAATTCAATCTTTCCACTGCCAGAAGAAGCAGCTGCCTTAAACACAGGTTTCTTACTAGCATCTTGAATGCCTTAAGTAGTTGGTAGAGGAAAAAAAACCTGGCCAGTGTATTTATAGTCTGAGTACAGGAGCTTGAGCTGTTGAAATTTCTGAGGTCATTTGATGGAAGGTTGTATTGCAAAGTCATGCATGCAGGATTTTCTCCCTTCATACTCATTTTAGTGTATTATTTTTTATATCTATTAATTTATTTTTCTGCTCTATTTTCCCTAATCTTTTTGTATGTCTCAATACAGTTTCTAGCCCAACAAGTTAAACAAAGCTTCCCTCAGGAAGCTCCATGTTCAGACCCTGTGCTAATTAAGCCTCCTGGGCTCCCTGCCTTCATCACACATTCCACCCAGACACATTGGCCACTTCCTATTCTCCACGCCAGCCTGGATCATCTCCTGCTCAGGGCCTTGCTTTGCTTTTCCCTCTGGAAGATTTTTAGCTCACCTGTTTTCAGAAGAACTCGCTGCCTCCACTCAGGTCTGCTCAAAGGACACATCATTTGCTTTTCAAGTGTCCATTTAAAACCTCCATTCTAGCCTCTTAATTTGCTTGCTTATTTATCTTCCTAGCATTTGTGAACTATGCATTAATTTATCCTTTTATTCCGGTTTCCAAAGCTACGTGGAAGCTCCCCTCTCTCATCAGTCCATTACTGTGTTATCGAAAACAGTGCCTGGCACATAGTAGGTTCTCACCGATATTTTTTTTTATAAGAAGATGGTTTTGGGCAATTTAGTGCTGAGTGTGTGAGAGAAAGAGCAAATAGTCCTGGTCTTCAAGTGTCTTTCAGCAGAGCTTTCTAATATCTAGCAACATTTAAAGGAACTTGACATAACATTGTCTTGTTTTCTTGCCCTGGAACACTTGACTTGACCTCTAGGTTCCGTTACGTCCATTGCCTTTAGGAGAGTGCCCAGGGGTCTCCTCCCCCTGTGACTATACGACAGTTGGCAGGTAGAAGGGGTGGAGGTGATGACGTGGAGCTGTCTCAATAAGTGAAGGACAAGGAAAATTAGGTAAGAATAAGCAGATTACTTCACGGAGAGGTAAGTAAGCTAACAAGTATTTCTTTCATCATTTGGTCCTTCTCAACTTTGGCCTTGATCTAAGGCCCATCTTTAAGATAGCAGCTTCTCTATCAAGTTTTAAAAGGACTTTCTCTTTTCTACGAAGACCTCATTAGTCTACCTACAACAAAGAAAGAATATCCTTATTAAATAATTATCTAGAAGTTCCACAGAAAAAGAAATTAACCAAACCATGTGGATATGAATCAAGCACTTGTGTTTTTGTGATCACACCTACTGCACACTGAAAACAAAACGTTCTCTCAAGAGAGCACCTTCATATCCACAACTTTGATCCACTTGCTGCACCCAACTTGTAATCTTACATCGGATTCTCCCTATTTTTGTGGATAACAAGGGTTAATCTTTTTGAAATCATGAAAACATTATACAATTGATAAAAATGATCATGTTATAAACACATATTAACACAACTTACACAGTGCACTTTATATGAAAGTGACTTATCAACAACTACTATAAAGATTAATTACCTCCATTTTGTAGTGCACTTAGTAACAGTAACAACACCTGGAATTTATAAAGCACCTTTCTTCCTAAGGGCTCAAATCTTAGAGCAGCCCGACTGGCTCACTGCTCAATGAGGTGAATTAATGTTTCCAGGTCTTGTGGGTACCATTTAGCCAGTGACTTCATCTTGTGTAATATGTGGCATTCTGGTACCCTGATCTCATATTGGGCCTCAATTGGATAAACATCGTGTTTCCGGGGAGAAGGGTCATTCAAGTCGGCACATCATAATTTTGAACTCTATTTGACAGGGACCAAAGGTGACAAAATTAAAAAGTTCTCAATAAAAATACTTTTGTTGCATAAAAACACATTGCAGTGATACAGTTAACATGAGAGCATGGGAAAATGCTTCCCATGCTCTCTTCTCCACTTCATACATACATACATGTGAGAAAGATTCTTCATGGGTTGAAACATGCGTGTGTTTATATTTGGAATCTCTATCCTTTCCAGGTCTCTGGAAAACATGTACAATAGGTTTAATGTTTTTGGATCAAACTTTTGTTTTAAATGAAGTTATTCATTTTAAAATGTGAAAAAAAAAAACCAGAGGAAGAGACACACAGATCAGGCAAGGGTGTTGGGGGAGAGAGACCTTCCATCCACTCGCTCACTCTTGAAATGCTTGCAACAGCCATCAGGGTTGGACCAGTGGAAGCTGGAGTTTGTACCTTATTCTGAGTCTCCTGTGTGGTGGCAGGATCTCAAGTACTTTAGCTATCACTTGTAACCTTCCAGTGTGCATGGAAAGGAAGCTGATGGAGGCAGGGCAAAAATCCAGGGACTCTGATATGAGATTCAGGTACCCCAGTGTGTGCCAAAAGCTCTCCTTTAAGGCAAATGTCTCAATCATTCTGTAAATAGTGAAGGCTCTGGGACCTCAGACTAATCATGGCTTTACTTCTTTTAAGAAAAACATTTCAAGGGAGAAAGGGAGAGGGGGAGAAGGATGGAGAAAGAAAGGAAGGGATGGAGGGAGGAAGAGAGAAAGGGAGTGAGGGAAGGAGTGAGGGAGGAAGGGAGGGGGGGGAAAAAGAGAGAGAAAGATCTCCTACCCATTGATTTAGTCTCCAAATGCCCACAACAGCGAAGATGGAGCTAGGTGAATCAGACCCAGTAACTCATTCCAGGCTCCTGTTTGACTCACCACTGTTGCCCTTCAGGATGTGCATTAGCTATGCCAAATATACATCCCTGTGATAAATCTTTTTTTTTAAATCATTGCTTTTCTTGTCAAATACCAAATGCAATGATTTAAATCCACTAGTTCCAATTCAGATAAAAATTTTATAATTCTTTAGGCAATTGTCATTTCTACTTATATGTCATATAGGTTGGGGCTGATTTTGTCATTTTAAATGTAAAACTATATCCTAAGAGAATGCTTTCTTCCATTCCTTTATTTGATTAAAAATGGCAATGGTGATTTGTGCGATTAAGAAATTGTTTGATCTTACAATCATGATATGTAGAATATTTCACCCAGCTGCTGCTAATTCCAACTTCAGAGCATCATTCAGGTTGGTTTTATGAGACTCTGAATTTAAATGTTCTCATTTCTTTGTGGGAAATAGGTATTTATGATGGAAAATACATGGAGTGAGCAAGCATGGCTCTAATTCAGGACAACTGTTATCAAAGACCCGTCAGGTATCATCTGTAGGCTCCCACTCTCATAATTTGTCTGGATTGTGCACACAGGTGGATAGTTTGGACACTGCTTTAAGATGATTTGAATTTAGAGCTGCCACATAAGAAAAGGGATGGAGGAGGGAAAACCTAATAAAATCAAGTTTCTATTTTGAGTATTTATTTTGAAATATGTCTTATTCTTTTTTGGTGGACTTGAATAAAGATTTATGAATGCAGTTCTGAGTTTTCCTGTGCCCACTGTGTCTTTTTCAGAGGCGACATCTTGCTCTTCAGACGATGTGTTTAATATTCCATAGTGTCCCAAAGACACTAATGTATTCAGAGCCTAATGTATTCTGAATACCTAAGACTATGTGGTGCAGAATTTAGAGGCCAATAAATGATTGGAAAATACATTTGTAAGTTAATCTTAGGAAAAATAAATGAGACAGTTAAAGAAAGGAAAAAAAGAAGAAAGGAAATTATGGAGTAAATGGTTACTGCTTATACTTTCAAAGGGGCATTAAAGGATGCATTGGTGTTTTGATTTTGAGAAATGCAATATGTGGTGAGTGAAGGAAAGAACCAGGCTGCCTATATCCTGAGGCTGCTTTCCTAATTTTAAAAACAATGGGATATTATATATATGCACATACGTGCATATATAGATATACACACATACACACACATATATATATATGCAGGCACTAAATCTATTTCATTAGTGGGTATTCACTAATATCTGTTAAGTGACAACCTAAATTTTACATTACTTGACAACGGAAAACTAGTAATAATGAACGGTGTCATTACAACTTTGTTTTTAGAAATAAGTGAAAAAACACTGGCATTAGATCCTGTAGTATGCTGTGCTAAAAATGACAAGCAAACGAACTTTGCCAACAATTGCCATCCATGGGAAAGGGCTCATGAAGTTCAAAGGACAACTGGTGGAGTTCCTGGCTCCATCCGAATCAAATATGGCTGAAATCTAAAATTAATAACCTACATTAGTTATCTGAATGTTCATATTGGTGGAATAATCTTTTTACACTTACAATGTAAAAGCATGTACTGTCATCTGCTATTAGATTTTCTTGTAGAAAGGGAGAGAAAGCAACCAAAATTTTCACATCATTTACTTCTGTCAAACTTTCAATAGCAAATTTACATCTTACAACTATAATTCTTTGTTAAAAGCTGTACAATGAGAATTTTCCACGGGAATCCAGTTTTCAGGAAGGGATGATTCTGTCCTGCCACACTAAAATAAATTTTATATATGTTGAATGGTAAAAACAAAATGAGGCATTGCTATTATTCAGCACATACTTGTCGTCACAATGATACTCAAGCCATCTGAGAATGCATTCTCCTGTGTGTGACATACCCATTCCAAACAAGTGGATCTCTATGGAAAACAAATCCACCGCCATCATAGCCAACACAACGTAACATTTTACTTACAGAGACTGAAGTTGTTTAAGACTTTCAAACGGGTTCTTGTGGAGATACAAAAGAGGGTTGGATGACAGGTTCCTTTTTTACCATCAGAGGGAGGGGGGGAAAAGCATGAGGATGTTATTATTTTCAAAGGTTACGATGTTGCCCCTTAAATCTCATGATGGTGAGAAGAACTTACAGTTTTTGTAGGCGCGGCAGGTCTCTAAAAAGGTGAGCTGGAAGCTCTGTCATCATGTTGCTAGACAGATCCCTGTTGGTGACAGACAAAACCCAAAGCAATTACATCGGAAATAAGTGACCTAGCTATTATTCTTCAGTTATCATCATCCTATTTGATGCAACAAAAAAATATGAATTCAATTTAACCAATCTGATAACTTGTTACACAACAAGGCCATGTGAGCCAACCAAATGGGTATGTTTTCCATCACTTACAGACATGTGATATTTTGCTCATCCAGTTCTTGTCTGGAATTTCCTCTTACCCCCTCTCCAACAATCCTGGCTTTAGTATCTACTTTGATTAATTTCCTGTTTTGGGTACTGTTTGTACGTTTCTATAATTCAGGTTTCCGACTTGCTTCATGTATGTAATCTCTTGCTTATCCAACCAAACTTTTGAGGTCAAGACTTACGTCTTTTACTTATTTTGCATTCCAATTAAGATAACATTGGATGTTCAGTATTTGCATAGACAATCTTGAATAGATAAGTCTTCATATTTCCAATATATTTTTATATAGTAATACCTCTGGAGAACAAATTGTGTCCTTAAAATCCAATGCTTTAGGAATGTCAGTTACAGAAAGAATCAAGGCAAGAAACTGCATAGTGTGAGGAAAATAGATTTCTGAGCATCAAAAGTCAACATTGTATAAGGGTTCAAGATATACTTGTGAGCCATAGAAGAAATTAAAAAGAGATGAGCAATAAGGTAAGAGTCAAACAAAACATAGAATTTTGATACTCTGGAGCTGCTATTGGTATGTTAGAATTACACATAACCAAGGTTTAGCTCTTTCTCTGAAGAATCTTACACTTAGATTAAGCAGTAGATTATAAAGCAAGGAAAAACATGAAACAGGTACATGTAAAGAAGTATAGAGAAAATATGGAGCAGAAAGTCATCAACCTTTCCCTGGGAAATCAGAAAGTATTTGCACAAAGTTTGATGATTTTAGGTGGGGCAAAAAAAAAAAAAAGCAGCAGTTTAGAGTACAATTGAAGAAACAGATACTTGGAATCAGGGACATCTTCCGGAACAGGCATGTAGCAAAACGTGTTACAAGAGAGGAAGTGTAGCAAGCTGCTGAGGAGGTGATCCCCAGAAAGCACACGGAGAGGAGAAGTGAGGATCAACTACCCAAGACACAGTCCCAGAGGACAGCCTGGGCAATCAGAATCCAAAGGATGCTTATTCAAAGTGCACATTCCTGGTGTCCACCCCAGAAGGATCATAGCAGGAGCTCTGGGAGGGAGCCTGGTAATATTTGTGGAAACCAATATTCTCTGTGATTCTTTTACACATTTATATTTGAGAACTGTATTTTTAAGGTCTTTGCTAAACAACAGGCAACAAGGACATTAAATAGGACAGTGATATAATGTATTTGTTGTTCTAACATGACGGTTTTGCTAGAAAGAAGCATGAAAGATAGGTTGGAAAGTATGAGTACTGGTAGAGGAAGACCAGACAGGGGGTTTCTCAAGAACCAGGTGGGAGCTGCTAGCTTTATAAAGGATAGGCTTAGGTCTTAGAGCTTGAAGTGCCAAGAGAGAGGTATGCCACACGCACAGTGAGAGAACAGCCTTCAGGCCCAGCTGCCAGGAAGGGCACTGAGAGCATCAAGGAGGAAGAAGCTGGTGATCATCCTGTTGGTTTAAATTTTAAAAGGTTGCTCTTAGGGTGCTGTCCCGATATCCAAGATCGAGGTTCTGACAGATGGGACTGCTGTTCTGAGGCTCCAGATAGGAAGCACACACCTAGCTGACAGCTCACCGGGAAGGCCACAGGTGTGCGGGGGCCAGAGAGTCTGACAATAGAGCCAGATGGTGATGATACCAATTGGCCACACCGAGAAAAGGTCCTGCAAACTGTAACATGGACAAAGCAATCTCTGCTCAGGGATCTCAGGGACCTACACTTGTTCATCAGTTTGTTATCATAAGGGAACAATGATCTTACACTTGTACATCCCAGATGCAGAGTTACATTGTTCAAGGAATTTAGCAGCTGAATTCCTAAAGCCTGAACTGGAATAGATTACTGGCAGTCTTACAAGTGGATTTTGACTTGTAGTATATTTGCTGTGGCTCTTCCTTCATGTTGGAGGAGAAAGGATTAGGAAAATCTTCAAAATGTAGACTTGATAATACGGTTTCTTCCAGTTTATATATAAATTAGGAACCTATTTATCTTGCAACACTACCCTACCCCACCCTCTAATCATGCCCATTTTCTAGACTCTGACTAAAACTCTACTGAAAGTCTCTTCTGAGAGAGCTATTTTTATTTTTCTTTCATAAAATGAGAATCATTTTAAATCCAATGTGATATATTGCACATACCAGGTCCCTGAAATGTTAAAAATCTGTGGATTTATCATACAAGGCAAAATAATTGGGAGCAGGGCAATTAAGTAGCCCTTGTTTTAAGGCCTCTATATCCTAATTGCCTATTGCTACTATTTATAGTGTAACAGACTTAATTTTAATGTCCAATTAAATTATATACAATTATGCATAAAAGAATGAATTTATAATACTAATGCTTTTTTAAAAATTAGATCCTTGAAAAATATGAACAAAGTTACGTGAGTTCTCTGAATATTTTCCAAGGGAACGAATTCTCTCTCCCAGATGTATGCCTTACTTCATATGTGATACAGATATAATTTTTCAAAGGATAGTATTTTTCACTTATTTATAATTTTAGTCAACTGTTTTCCAACAAACATTTATTGAAAGTCAAGTATACTCCAACTATGAAGATACATGATACATTTTAAGAAGCTATAGAAAAGCAATTTACTGCAAAACAAACACATAAAATTACTCAAAGAAAAATAATAAAACTATGGTAGATTAAGTCCATATTTACCCCACTGCCTGATTTGAAGGTACTTTTGGCTCTAGGATAATTCTGATTTTCTTAATGGATTAATGAATTTTGTATTATTTCAAAAGGCAGAGATACAGAGAGAAAGAAGGGGAAGGAAGAGAAGAAAATGGGGCTGAGATTAAAGAGAAAGAGAAAGGAGAGAGAGAAAGGGAGAGATCTTCCATCTGCTAGTTCACTTCCCAACTGCCTGTAACAGCCAGGCCTGGGCCAAGTAGAAGCCAGGAACTCTTTCTGGTCTCCCACATTGGTGGCAGGGCCCCAAATACTTGGGTCGTCTTCTGCTGCCTTCCCAGGTGCGTTAGCAGGGAGCTGGATCAGAAGTAGAGCAGCCAGGACTTAAACCAGCACTCTGCTGATATGGGACACTGGTGTTGCAAATGGTGGCTTAGTCCACTTTGCCACAAGCCCAGCTCCCTGAATCGGTTTTTAATATCAGCAGTTTGCAGGATTTTGATTGCTACTAGTGGAAGAGCAGTCGCCATAGCCATTTAAATTTATAATCTTGGAAGAAGCAATCATATTCTTCCTAGTAGACGATGCTACTTACAGTTCTCCTAAATTTTTTAATGAAGAAAATGTCTTCTCTGGAACAAAATCAATTTGATTTCTAGGCAGAAACCTGTAAGACATGGTGAGAATCAGCACTGTGCAATCATCAGTTCTCACTGGGAGATGCCACGGATGTGGCAGGAATCGAATCAGCTTCCTTCCAAGTCTCGAAGGAAATCAAAGAAACCTAAGGCAGGAGTCTCACCGAGGACATACACGAGGTCTCTCCAGGAAATGCTGCTGCAAGCAATTGGAGCTTCTGAGTATGGTCTATAAAGTTGTAGTTGGATTATGTTAGCAAGTGTCTTTTTCTAATTTTTCTCTTTCCATTTTGCTTTCCAAGCACCCATACAACCAACAAACATTACCGACTATTTATTATCTATGGAAAACTATTTGTGAATAAAATAAAAACCAAATACTTGCGTTTTTAAGATTGCCACTCCAAACGTGTTAGTTGACCAATCCATTTGCCTTCCTGTCCCTATCCCCTACCCCTTAAAAAGCTACTTAGCAAAAAAAGCAGCAGCATCTTTGGCCAATCAGAATACATTAGATGTTCTCTCACTTTGAATAAAACTATAATATCTTTTTCTTTGGGAAGAGAGATATTAAGTGATGAGAATCATCTGCAGAGCTTGCTGGTCATTGTGTAGCTAACCATTTGCATACACATGATTTTACTCCATTGATGAACTTCCCAGTACATTTTCAATGGAGACGATGTACAACAATGATAACTGCTATAGAACCAGGGAGACCAGCTGGACACCTAACCCATGGGCAATTTAAAGCTGTCATCCTCCCCCACTAAATCAACAAATCAAGGTGTACATCTTTCTATTGCTGCTTTCAAACCAAGGCTGTAAGTGAAACACCATTGCAAAATTCTTTGCCAATGTTTCAATTTCCAAACCTATACGTTTTCCACATTGCAACTGAAATCTGCATTGACTTACAGCACTGTGAGTGAATTGCAGGACACAAAGGTGGAATTTCTAAGACGCTTTATCCGATTGCCTTCCAGGTCCCTGAAAGTCACAGACGGAAAACATTTTTAATAATTTTGCACAAGTTGGATGTGCAGAGCTACTTTGCATTGAACACGACAATTCTGAGCTTCACTGCTACTGCTCTTCACAAGTTCTACTCTTCCTTCCTCGTAAGTGTTGCAGAGTTTGCACTGATAATATTGTGTGGTGCTGTTTGAATCTGATTTGAGAGTGTCCTCCCCCTTCCCCTCCCAGCCAGGTTTCATGGATTGAAGTTTAATCTTCCTTCTGAGGTATTAACAAGGTGGAAACTGAATCTGACCATGGTGCTTGGAATTAGGGTTTTCTAGAAGTGATAAGGTCAGTAGAGTGGAACCCCCATTGCTGAACCTGGTGACTCTGTAAGAAGAGAGGTCAACAGAGAATAAATGCAGACACAGGTGCTGACACCATGTGCTGTCTCCATTCTGCCAGCAAGAAGCCTCTCATCCCATATGAGCTCTTGAATCTCCATAGGTATGAGTTAAAGCGACATCTTTTCTTTATACAGTTAGTCTGCCGTAGGCATTTAACCTTAGTAACAAAGCATTATAATGACATCCTGATTCTTTCCCCTTCCAATTAATGTGAAGACTTTATAAAGTTCAAGGAAAGAATAGTGTAATCTCTAGTGAGTGGCTTTCTGTGCTAGGTGCCCTGTTAGTAACAATAATAGCCCCCTGTCATCATGCTACCATCTATTATTGTGTTTTTCCAGGATGAGGTACTGTATATTCTGTGTGCATAACACAACCTTCCTGCAAGGCTAAATCACCCTGTCTTTAACACAGACAGAACATGAGTGTCTGACCTCTCTCCTTTCTACATCGAAATTTGAAAGCCTATTCTTATTTGTGATCAGGTCATCTTGCTAACTGTACCCACAGGTACTCAAAAAGTTCCTGGTGGTGCAGTTGCTGTGGTCCAGTGTGTGAAGTCACTGTGTGGGATGCCTCTATGCCATGCCAGAGAGCTGATTTGAGTTCTGCCACCAGTCCCTCTAATGCAGCGTCTTGCTAGTACTTAACTTGAGAAGTACCATATGTTGGCTTCGCTGGTCAGGGACCTGCTACCAAAATGGGAAATGTGGATGGAATTACGGACTCCTGGGTTCTGCCTGGCTTGCCTTTGTCTACTGAGAGCATCTGTCTATTGAGATCTCTGTGTCCATGTCTGTCACTGTGTCTTTCACATAGATAAATATTCTTTAGAGGCTTATGGGAAAGTAAAATTAAATGTTAAGTTTATTTTGATGTAATTTTGATTTTCATAGATAAATTTTTATAATATACATTTCCATAAACTGTCTGAAGACTTCTTACATTTTCATTGAGTATCTATTGTTTATCCTAATGTTCAGGGCAATGCAAAATTAAAGTGAACATTCCAGGAACCAGAGTTTCTGGCACAGGTTCCTGTCCTCCTCCAAGTTGATGTTGCTGAGTGTTTCTTATGGGGTATGGAGGAAGAGTGTGATGGGGTCTCGGTAATCTCCTCTTTCCTGGCTGTTTCCCTTTTTATGTATGCAGTTTCAAAATTTCTAATTATTTTTTTACATCTTAATGAATTTTGATATTGTCAGATCATTGCATTCATTTTTAGTACTGGTACACTCACATGGAATCTTCAGTGCTCTAAAAGTTTTCTGATAAATAATAAAATTAACAAATACAGGAAAATAAGTTAATAAATAAACATAGCATCATTTAATAATGTTGCACAAGAAAATTTGAGGCTAATCTAGAGAGGAGTGCAAGCTATCAGATTGAAATTTTATCATTTTATGGGCATTGAGTCTCCCAGTTTGATGATAAGGAGAGTCCTGTGGATGATACAGTCCACGTTCTAAAAGCACAGAGAACATATGACTGGGACAGCTCTTGCTTGCTGCTGGAAAACCTGGTGATGAAATAAGACTGAAACATAAGTAATGATTCAAAACAGTTGTTATACAACAGATAATTGGGATGGAAATGGCCAAATACATTTAACAAAGGTTTGTTGAGTAACTGCTAAGTGCTGGTCATCATCCTAATGTTAGGGTTTGGAATCACATGATACTTTTTTTTTTACTTTTATCCAGTTTACAGAATGGTAGGGAGAAGACAACTAAATGAGCCAATAATTACGTGGTTATGAACCTCAAGTAGTAATGGCATGCAGAAAATGGGTGGCTTAGCAGTTTTTTATGTAGCACAATGGGAGGACAGAGGCAGTGTCCAAAACTGGGTGGCATGTCTGGAACAGTTTCATGGAATGGTAATGTTTAAGTTGGCTCCCGAGAAATGTTGGAGCTAGCCAAAAGTAAAAGGGAGTGGGGCTTTTCAAGTTCAAGCAACACCATATGCACAAGGCATTGATTGCAGAAGCAATAGTTTGGTATATCTGGAAGAAAGCCATTTTGGGGAACAGAAACAACCTAAAAGACCAGATAGGGTAAGGAATAGAAAATGAAGGGTCTTCATTTCTCAAGGAGGAAGGTCAATCACAATCTTTATACCCATGCAAACTCTGCAAGGATTTTTAAACTGGGAAAAAATTTTGGTTTGGGAAAGAAAACACTGATGCACTTTTTGGATAATTCTTCATTAACTTTATGGTTACTTTTTCTCATTTGGGAAAATAACAAATCAAATCAAACAAACACTCACATCCAGTTAAGTTGAGGCATATGGGTGCATATCTGCTTGGGAAGGGCTTCTAAGTAGTTGTTAACCATAGACCTATATAAAAAGAAAATGTTAATTAGAAACAAAATGATAAGCCACTTTCAGAATAGTATTTTCACTATTTTAGAATTTGGAAATGTGTGTGTTAAAATTAATGTTAGGATGAAGTATAAAAACATAACTACCCCTTCATGATGACCTTTAAATAATGTATACAGCAAAATTAGGAAGCAGATACTGTAAGAATGCCCAAGTATGATATACTTTCTCCTAGTAATAAATAGTACATGGCTTGATTTTATGAGATGAGTCTAAATTATATATTGAGTAATCATTTTTAAGTTCATGATCATTCCTCCTGTAAATTTTAAATTTGTAGTCATTTCCAGTGTCATGCATCCAATATTTCTTCTTAAGGGAAATACTAATCATATATAGCATGACGGGACCACACTAGAAATTGCATTAAATCTAGAAAGTGACAGTAGGGGGGACTTGGGGAAAGGAAATAACTCATGAGCATATTAAGCTGTATAGCTAATTTATGATATTTTGACCTCTTTGGGCAAATGGAAAAATAATGATGCTATATGATCAACTACAAAGGAACATCAAAATTCCTTGCTGATAAATCCTTCTAGTGTGTTAGTAAACATTGGCAATGAATGTAAGCGTGATAATAGCTCTGTTAAGATTTTAGAGTTTCAGTGACCACTATTTAGCAAAGGAGATTTTTTTTATTATTGTTAAAATTGGAGAGATGAGAATCTGGGCGATTGCAGTAGATTTAAATGTAGCTAGGATTTAAAAATGAATAATACATTTGGCCAACCACTGCAAATAATAGCATACCTTGGAACTAAAATAAATTAAAGGAGTTGAAGAAAATCAAGCAGTAGGCTTAAAGTATGCATTTGACTGCGGTCTGCTATTCACTTAGACTCATGGCCAGGAAGTAGCAACAGTAGCTGCAGTTAGGAACACAGGAAAGATTTTGGCCAATAAACATGTTAGAAAGCTTGATTTTTTTTAAGAAGCTTTTTCTCCCTAAGGTAGTGTTAGATATCACTGCAATTTACGGAGAGATGTTGAGAGATGGAGGAATACTTACAGGAAAAACAAGGAATTTAGTCCAGCAAACAACCGATGTGAAATTCTGCTTATTGGATTGTCATCTAGAATTCTGACAAAACACATTGAAAATATGTTCAATGTTAGAGATGTTTTTTCAAAAAAAAAACCAAGAAAAGAGGTAGGATGGACCTTTCTGTCTGCAATGCCAATCCCTTTTCTTTGTGGTATTGTATACTTGGTTCAGGGGTCTCTTTCATGAGAGATTTCTTTTACTATGCGGTGGTGGCAGCTACACTGCCCTTCAATTTCCTACAACTTTGTTGCAGCACTTATCAAGCTGGATCTTGATTACCTGCTTGCTCTTCTTGCATCTACCTTCCACTGGACAAAAATATAATTCTTAGGAAATCAGAAATGTTTTTTTTTTGTCTCAATGCCATTCCAATGATGAATTCAATAGATTTCATACAACTCAGTGAATGAATGTCAAACCATTCACAAGTAATTTTGAGAAGCAAAGAGTGAAAACATTTGTATGTTTAAACCATTGTTTTTTAACTATATGTGACATTTTTTCCAGAATAAGTTCAAATAAGGACAAGTAGGTCTCCTTTGCTCTCACGCCCTTGAAGCCAGGTACCGTTTCCTCCTGCTCTCAGAAGTCCATGAAAATAGGATTAGGAGAGGGCAGGATACACCAGGCATGCCAGCAACCCTCTAACAAAGTAAGTATAGCTTCCAGGTGTAAAAATAAAGAGGTGTAAGACATTAAGAACATGGCCTGCAAGATTAGCCATGGGATCAGGCACACACAAGTTTCAAAGAAGCTAAAGTCATGGTTATTTCCATAAGATCAGGCCAGCCTGTAAAATAATGGCCAAGTGACTGAGAGCCATTCAACTGTATTTCTCACTCTGATGCGAGCACAGACATTTGATATGAGACTCCCGGGGCCGGGGGGTGGGGGGGGACGGAAGATGGAGCTGTTTGCTCAGTTTCACAAGTGGTGAAATACTATGAATGCATATTTGGGAACTCTCTGAATGTTCCAGAAGTCAGAACAAGTCTTTGCCTTTCTCGGTCGGTGGTTTCCTACTGAAATTTTTCTCTACATGGGGACTTTGGTAACACGTGAAGACATTTTTAGTGCTGCAGTTCTTGGGAGATGGGTCCTATTACTGGTATCTAAGGAGCAGGTGGCACACATAGTGTTAAATACTCTAAAGTGCACAGGGCACACTCTTCTCCTTACCTCTCCTGAGCAAAGTATCTGGACCAAAATGTTCACAGAGCTGAGGTTGTAGAATCCTGCATTTGGTTAACACTGTATGGATAAATGGATCAGCAAAAATACCACAGGATGCAAAGGCAACCCAGAAAAACAAGGCCAGCTTCACTTCCAAATACAAGGGACCCAAATACCATTGTCTGATTTGCTTGAACAAAGCATACTATTGTGGGAAAAATAAGCATATCCAATGGGGGTTTGGTGTGGCAGCTAAGACTCTGGGCCATTGTTATCTCATACCAGCGTTTGTGCATTTAAGCTGTGGCTCTGCTTTGATCCATACCTTCCTGCTGCTGTGCACCCAAGGAAAAGTAGATGAGGACTAAATACTTGGGTTTCTGCCACTCACGTGGGAGACCCAGACTGAGATCCAGGTTTCTGGCTTGGGTGTGGCCCAGGTCCCAGTACTGTGAGCATTTGCGGAATGAACCAGCAAATAGATTTTTTTTTTCTTGTGTCTTTTAAGTGAGCAGACGAAATTTAAAAAAGGAAGGAGATAAAAGAGATGTAATAACATACACCCCGAAGTGGAAACTCTGTGAACACTCTTGTATGTTACTGAAGACTGTGGTCATTTCTGGGGGCTCTGGGAAATCAAAACTAGAATACTTACAGCCACGTTAGCTGATGCAAATCTCTAAATACTCCAGGTTTGAGGCTTGTTATGCAGTTGTGGTTGAGATACCTACGGATAGCATGAATTAGTTCATTAGGAAAGCCCAACACTCTGTTTTGGTCATATACAATTATAATAATAATCACTTATGATGATTATGAATTATGGACATCTGCTTCTGAAACAGCTCAGCTGGATAGGCTGGGAGAAGCTAGAAATTAATGGGCAATGGGGAGGTACAGACAACTACAGATGTAGCATCAGGGATAGAGAAAGGAAAGCTGTTCACAAATGATGCTTTAAGATATTGCATTACGTTAGACTACAAAAGTATAACAACTAAGTACATGGGGCGATTTTTGCTTTTGTCCTTTTTATGATCATATCCTTAGTAGGATAGCATTGTAAGAAAAAAAAATATAGTAAATTAACAAAGATTAGAGTAAAAGTAAGAAGCTAAAATGTGAAAGTGAACCAAGCTAGAGAAGCAAGCAGGTCAGTCTATTTAAGTCTTCTGGCCAAAGAAGACTTAAATTGCAATAACTAATTTAAGCACACTGTCACAACCTGTCCTTCCCATTTCTCTACAACCAGGTCAAACTTTAAGAAGTACCATCTCTAGCAGTTTAGTCTTCACTTAAAATTGCAGTAATAATATAATTATAGAGAAACAACTCACAGTACTTGAAGATTGTGTAATCCAAAAAATGCTTTCCTGGATATGTGACTAAGGCAATTATACTGAAGATATCTGGTAGGAATAAAGATAAAAAAATCACAAGATGAAAGTTTATGGAATTTAGTATGTCATTTTTGTTGCCTGAAGACCATTTGTGGAATTGCTTTATAAAGCAGAAGGCCCCATTGTCATGTTGGGAGGGTGGAGGTGCCAGTGAGAGCTATGAAGCTAGTCAGCACACACAGTTTCTGTAGGATATTTGGCTATGCCTGCCTTGTACCACTGAATTCAAAGGTGCTGTGCTTAGGACAGGAGTCAGTCTTCTTTCTGCAAACTAGATCCATGGCATCATTCCATTCTGACTGGGGGCTGGGGAAGCTGCTGCCTACGTGAGATTTCTCTGGCTTTCCTTGCTGAACTTACTCCATGAGATTATTTCTCTTTTTCTAGTCCCTTCAACAAAGCAGGGAGTGAATTTGGGGAGGCACCAAGTGAATTGATGAGGTGTGAAAGATTCCATAGAGCACCAGTAATTGGAGTGGGCTAGTCCACCAACTTTAACTCATGGCATAAATCCTCTAACTTGTGCAGCAACTTAATAATGCAGTACTGATCTATCATAACACTGGAAGGAATATAGAATAAAAAGATTTCCTTTTTATTTTCTTTACTACACAATGGGAGGTTAACCATGAATTCATTTTTTTGAAAGGTTATCAAGGGGGCAGTAAATATATCCATGCTAATGACTACACAGTCTTTTGAATGGCTCTCGATCCTCTTATTTTCATTTTGATTCCTAAAATATTATATAACACAGTCTTGACTGCTATGGACTTCACTGCAAAACTTTGGATAGAATAAGTGCTCATTCATTGTTGTCTAATTTTGTTATACCAGAATTTTTCCCTAGGAGAACTTCCCAGTCTTTGCCTTTAGATCTTGACTATGTTAAGGATGCCAGGATATTCACACACTTAGACTTTAGCAAGTAAAGCCAAGATCAGGTTCCAATTCTCAGTAAACCTATTCTTTACCCAGGATGCTGTAAAAATATGGCCATTTTTCTTATGAACCACCATGTGGAAAGGGTTGGTACTTCAGTGCAAATGCATCATAGCCATGGTGAGGCCCAAAATTTCAATTTCTATACTGTAGAGCAAACTTGAAAGCCAACGTAACATTGTGTCCTCCGAAACCCCAGTCTCTGTACTTTGTGGGGATGCTACTTCACACAGCAGAATAAATTCTGCTTTTGAATTAAGATCCTATTACAAATATGATAAACTCTCACAGATCAGTATCTGCTTTAGTGTTTTCAGAGTTTGGACTGGTGTAATGAAAGTTAATAATGTGAATTATATTATATTAGCACATGAAGAAGAAACAGAATGCACTGCTCTAATAAAGGTATATTAAATTTCCTCTATCTAACAAATTACTGTTGATATTTAAGATGGTTAATTCAAGAGTGTAATGCACATTTTACCTATATGTTCCATCTTGGATAGGTGCAAGTCACACATTATGAATTTAACCTTGTCTTTTGTCTTAGACATCAAAGAAAGGAAAGAGTGAAACAATGTTTGGAATGACTCATCTCATATGGACAGCTTATCTCCCTCCACTGAAACCAGGTAGGACTTAAACTCCTCAAATAACACAAAGTCCCCAACCTTTGATTTAACCAGCTGGCTGTCACCCACAGAGACCCAGAGTCCCTGGTCCCATGTCTCTGACTTAGATTGCTAAACTTAAACTCTTTTTAAGTTTCTGCTTTCTTCTTTGTAGAATAGGAGCTCAGAAGTGTGAAGAGAAATTTGGAAGCATGACAGTTTGGCAAGTGGTGCCCACTTTTTTATTCAGAGCTGAGATATGAACCCATTTAATATACTTTCTCTGAATGGCTTTTCTAAGAATAACTTACTGGTTCATGAATTCCTGCTGTTTCAGCTATCAGGACTTTTCAGAGCAAAAACACCAGGAATTTATGTACCTGACACAAAAGCAAATAAATGCTTTAATGACATGCATGTTTATAAGCTATTTTTCAAATGTGGCATTTTGTATTCAATAGCCAAGCAGACGCGTTGAATCACATCTTGCTGCCAATAACAATTTAACAAGAACTCAGCTGAAGAAGAAATTCGTAATTTATATAAGGTTTATGTTACAATGAAAAGAACTGCTGTTGGTTTCCATGGTAGCAGTGACACAGTATCATGGTCAATGCCATAAATTATATTTTATTTCTCTGAAAGGTCATCTGAAACTGCGTTTTCCTCCCCAACTTTAGAAAAGCTTGACATTTTTTAAAAATCACTAAATGAATAAGCTGATCAATAGCAAAAATATTCAGATCATTTCAGTAACATTTGTTCATCTGGCAATTAAAATTTAATTTTGATTTAGGAATTCATTTTTTGGATGGCTAAATGACGTCAATTCCATTTAGAACATTCCAGACTGGAGACTCACTTGACAATAACTTTTAGGTTATTTCCCAATACTACCTAAAAATGCAGACTAAATTAATTGACTCACTACAATCGACAGCATGTATTTGTGTATGTCTCTTCCCTGCTCACAAAAAGTAAAGAAGTCCAGATTCTTCAGCTGATATTCATGTCTCTACAATCCAGATTCTACTCCCCAGCCTGTGCTCCGCCATCTCCAGTGGGAATCCTTCCATGGGCAAACTGTGCAGTCTCTCCCAGCATCCTGAGTCGTTTCGCACACATTTGTTCCTCCTTCTAAGGATCATCCCCACCCTCTCTTTTTTACATTTACACTGCCCAGCACTGATTCAACAAGCACTCACTGATTTTAACAGGGTACTTATTGCATGAACAACAACATATGCAACAGTGGAGTGGGGAGGTGCATGGCACTATGAGGGAGCCAGGAGGACCATCCAACTCAGAGCGAGTGGTTCCTCCCAAATTCAAGGAGTGAAGGTTTCATGACATGTGATCACAGTTGATGCAAGTCATGCTTAAATTCAGAAAGTAAAATAGCTGTGGGTAATAAAGTGTATTTCCACTTACTGTGTAGAAGCAAGAAAACATGAAGGAAAAATTCAAGCTTGGCTCTTGGGATTTATTTTGGAACATTGTGAGACAAGATTAAAGTATCAACCACTCAGTGCCCAACTCCTACTTTGTCCCCGTGTTTTCAAGGAAGGTGATTTCAAGGGCTGAAGCAAACAGAAAGGCTATTGAACAGGAGCAGTGTGAGTTTGGGATGTAGAAGATGTTGGTAAAAAGGGATTTAAGTCCTCTGGTTTTAGAAATTTCCTCCAGAAACAGATAAACTTGGGAAATGGAAACAACAAACTATAATAAATTACTGAGGAATCTGGAGAAATGATGAGCAGCTAGAAAATTAAAAGTGACAAAGTGTGGTTTTCATGTTTAAAACAGGATAGAATTTGGTTTCACATGCTACAGTGGAATGAGCTCAAAGTCAGCCTGGTAAACTAACAGGTTTTTCAGTGTGTTTTGTGGATATCTGAAAGAGAAAAGGAACAGGGTAGTTCATGAGGAATAGGGCACTTCAGACCAACCTCATTTTCTTCTTGGAAACACTGACCATCCAAAAAACACAGTGTAATAGACATTGTGTGACATGCCCGTCAGGCATTGCATTGATCAGGTGGCGCTATGATGTGGTTAAGGACAAAATAAAGTATGAGACACATCCTTATCTGAATGATGATGAAGAAGACATATGGAAAGACAATTTGTTGCTGTCCTCTTCAGTGTTTTACTGCATGATTTGGGTAACGATGGTTCATCTTATTTTCAGGTGACAGAAATCTGGCAGGAATAGGGAATACATGGGATGATCCAAAAAGATCTTCACAGTCCGACAAGAAAAGCTGTATACATTCAAGGACTCAACTCAGAATACTTTTTAAATGCTAAGTGCACAGGTATAGGATGGACTACACACTACTAGTAATGTACATACATAGCAATGGAAATAAGCATTGTAGTGGCAAGTGCATTAGGAATTAACAGGTTCAGGCAATCCTCACAAGGATACTACAACCCGATGGCTCAAAGACTATAGAAAGGAAAGGGTTCTAATTCTGCTCAGCTTGCTCTCATCATGTTATGATAATATTCTCTCATGATGGCACTATGTGTCTATTCTAGGTATCAAACATTAAAGAAAATTCAGGCAAACAGGACCATCAGAATAAAACACAAGTTTGAAAGAAGGCATGTTGGGGAAGAACTCAAGGAACGAGGGATGCTGAGACAAGTTGTTTGTGGTAGGATGAGAGCGGATGACAGTTTAAAATGGCTGTACAGTTTTGTTGAAGACTGGTTAAGTGTGTTCTGATTCATAGGAATGATGGGAGCTTTAAAGATCCTTTGAGCATGGTAATGTGGACAAAATTTATTATACTATTCTTTGAAATATCATTTACTTAGAACCTCCTGATCCTCTTTCTGGTTTATTTTTGTCCATGGCCCTAATTATAGTTTAATAAATACTTTTGAAATTTCATTTATTGATATTCTCCATTAGAAGTTAAGCACCCCAAGGAGTGAACTTTTTGTGGTGAAAAATTGGGAAGAAAAGGACAAAAGGACAAGAGGGACAAGAAGTATGTTGGGGGCTGGAGGGAATTTTTCCGGGAGTTTGGGAAAGAGAGGTCAGAGGAGTCGAGGAATGAGGAGGTTCCAGGAAGGATTACTTACTGAATTTGTAAGCTACTTTAAGGTATTTGGATAATTCTAGTAAAGAAATGGAGCGACTTTTGGATTAAAGTTTAGGTACTGAATAGTTTATGGTGACAACACTCTGAGGCTTGACCATATGGGGAAGTTTCTGAAAGCACACAGTGACAAGGTTTGGGTTTGAGGTCAAGCTCTGGTGCTCATTAACTTTGGGAAGATGAACTGTTTTTCAAGATTAGGTTTCCTCATTCCTGAAAGGGATTATGTTTCACAGACTTTGTGAATCCAAGCTCCAGTATTTGGAATTCTTAGACTGGAATTATAGACTTTAAATAATGACATCTAAATTTTCATTGTACTTGATCACTCTGCTATAGCCTGCATACAGCTCTTAAGTATTTCTTGCTGTGTGTGTATTGGAGGAGGTACTGATAATCTTTTCTGTGAGTCTCTGGGAGAATCAAATAGCAACTTTTATTGTGAGAATGCTGTGTCGATGATGTTCAGGCCGTGATGTGTTGCCTAAGTTTCCCAAAAGTAGAACTAAATGTTTACTTGGAGAAGTTGCCAGCTTATCTTGGCAATGAAAGTTAATATCTACCCTTTTTTCACTAAAAAATTTTGGAATGTGCACTCTCCAAGTGTTTCCATACCCTTTCCTGTAGTTGACTAGAGGCACTGTGAAAGTACTGACACAAAAGAAAATTATATACCAAGAAAGGGTTTAGCTTGAAAAGCTTATGCAGCTCTCTGCTTGCTCTTCTCTAGAAACTGGGTTTTCCCAAGTGAGTAGCAAAAGATGCAGGCAGGAATTCAACATGGTACAGGAATGTATGATGGGACAGTATGTGTCAGAAGAGGTTCAATGAACTGTTAGAACAATTTCTTTTAGTCTCTAGTTTTGTCTATAGTTTCATCATTGTTCTAGATGGGCACTGATTCTGCCTCTTGCACAAATTGGTGCTTGTTCATAGGTTGAACACTGAATCATTGCCATCTTTAAGTATCTCACTGGTCATGAGGAGATTCACTAAGAAATTCTTAAAACTTGTATGACACCAGAAAGAGGATATAACCAGGTACTCTTAAGCAATAATCTTTTCCCTTCCTTCCCTGTAGGGTTATTTTATTTGTAACTCTGGAGAGTTTTTGAGGCAGCACAAGGACAATGCTGTCTCACAGAATGAACATGTTGCTGTTGGAAATTTTCTAGGAAGACTAGAAGCAATACGGTTTAATGACCTTTCTACAGGATTCTAGAAATCTGGAGTGAATATCCCACTGCTTCCATGTAACAATGCCCTCATGACTGTGTGCTCTCGGACTGACAGAGGGTCCTGACTGTAGGTGAGGTTGATAGAAGCAATAATCCAACCCAAGTGTGATTAAGTACCTGGGTTCACACACAACTCTAATTCAAAATTCCTCAGGTTGCATCATTTCCTACATGCACAAATCTGTACCTAAACTCATTAACATGGAATCCTTGATGTTTCCAATCCAATGTGCTTGTTCAGCCTCAATATAATTTTGGCTCATTTTTATACCTGTACTTTAACATACTTTACAGTTTTAGAGACTCTATCTTCTACAGTAGCTGTGGAAGGATAACACAATGAGGTCATGGTACTTTTAAGGCAGCATATGTAGCATTACCACGCTAGAGTGATTCTGTAACCTTATCGACCATTCGGCAAATGTGGCCTCTTTATTACTTCAGAGTGACTGGGCTCAGAAAGACCGACAGATATTAATCCAAATGATAAATGACTGAATATGCATTGATTCTGAATACTCTCAAATTCTTAATGAGAGTAGGAGGTATTTCATACCACTGATATTCCATATCCAATGAACTTTTCTTATTCCATATCCAACGAACTTTTTCAAATACTTCAGCATGAAAAAGTTATGAAGTTAATCGTCCTGAAGTTGCCTACTAACTAGGAAACCAAAGTGAAGAGCTATGTGCAGCATTGGACAACTCATGGAGATTGTGATAGAAAGGATGATTCATTTCTACAACTCTAACAGAGACGGTCTCCAGGACTACATGCCCCAAATCATGAGTTTATCTGCCAGATAATTCTGGGAGCATATTCACATCTTCTTTCTCACTAATAGCGTTTCTTATCTCACTATGCCCTAGTTATTAACATTCATTTTTCTCCAGTAAACTGACATTGCTGATTGCACGAGTGTGTTTTTGCTCTTCCTCCCCACCCCCAGGAGACAGCCTGTGTCTTATTGTGTGATTTACATGATCGCACTGTTCTTGTCTGTGTTATCACTCTTTTTCTAAATTAAAAAGTACATCCAGTGCCTCTGATTTTAAATGTCATTTCCCAAATAATCCTGAGCAAAAGCATGGGACAGTGTATTTTCCTATTGAGATCTCTAACTCTAGTCCAAATTAACTCTGAAGAAGTTAAAATCTGTTCAGCTGCTTTAAATTATGAAATGGAAAGATAACATGCTCTTAAATGCTCTATTTCTAATCCTAACCACATTTAGGAATATATTTAGCAATGGAGATAATAAATTTTATATTTTATTTTTAGAACAAAAACATCTTAAATAAAACATCACCAGGGTTTTCCCATAAATTCCCTATTAAGATCTACTTACATCTTTTCAAGTTCTGTGTATTTGATGAAAACTTTATCTGGGAGACTGTGGATTTTGTTTTTCTTAAGAGACCTAAAATAACATGCAAAACAGACTTCATTATGGATTTTTCTGGCCAAACTCTTTCTTAGAAGCAACATGCTTGGAAAGAAGATATGTGATGCTATTCTGAAGTGTTTAAAACAAAGAGCATGACAATGACTGAAAGCTTTCCATGTAAGTATCGAATGTTCATTAAAAATTTATTTTTGCAAAGATATGACAAGATTAGCCTATTTGTCTCTCTTACACACAATGGAAAGCCTATGGTGACTTCCCCCACCCTGTTTTTTCTTTTATTTCATGGATAAGTTAGCAAAATACAGCAAACAAAATGAAAAATAACCAAATATTCCAACTATGTGTAGCTAAATGAGGACATTGCTGCCAATTTTGAGGCTCTTAGAAATGTATGCAAACAGAAGTTTGCACAATCTGAGACAGCTAGATTTTATACCTTTGCAAAGGTGGATACGTTATCATCATTAAAAATGAGATGGGATAAGTGAGTGTGCTTCCTTTTAGAGAGCATTTCAGCACAGGCACATTAGTCACCATGCATAAATCAGAAAGCAAACAAACATAAGAATTCTAGACCACAGATGTTTTTGAGCTAGATGTTAATGAGGCTAATCCAACATACTGTGCTTTGCAGCATTTTTTTTTCCCCCACAGGAGGGAAGCATACAGAATTCTCTGATGACTGGTAATTTTAAATAGACTTTCTCTCATTTCATAATTTGGCTCTATAGCATCAGTAAAGAGTTTCCTTTGGTTTTCATGTGACTTTAGGGACAAAAATCATCAAGAATCGAGCTGTACTCACAGTGATGTCACATTGCAGGAAAGAGTTGGCACCATCCTTAAGTCAGAACCAACACATTCCAATTCAGTTTCTTTGCAGTTACAATGTTGTGGATATTGGCTTAGAACTAGGGGTAAAAAGAAGAACGTTTCACTAGGAAAAATAGTATTTTGGTTTAAGTATGACTTTCTCTATAAATGACATTGTTCTGTTTTCACTTTAATTTTATGAGTTTATATATACCTTATCAAATGGATTTATTCAAAGAAAACAAGAGTTCTCCTTAAATCAGTACAGATCAATATGGTGTCTATTTCAGTTTTAGTTTCCAGTATTCATTAAAGAAGCATTGCGTTAAAAACACAGAGCAAAGCAAGATTAAATTCTCATTGAAAAATATTAGAAGATTGAGTAAATCAATGAATATTATTGGGTTACTTCAATTGACTAGCACAAGGCAGTTGCTTCATAAATGCTTGCTGATTAAGGTTAAAGTGAAAACTTTCATATTTTAAACTTAGGAGTTGTGAAAAGAGCTGGCTACATGTTCTGCTACAGCCACTATTACAGTCTGGTCAGATATCATCTCACTTATGCTTTTTTGTGTTTTATTCCCAAGAAGATCAAAACAGAAAATAAAAGAATCTGTTGCTTCCACCAGAACAGTGGGCAAGACTTTCCATCCTCCCTTACCTGCAGGTAAACCATGTTCCCACTGCCTGTGGGTCCTGCTGAAATGCTTCATGCATCTCTCTCTACCTCACTCTTCTCAGTGGTATATTCTAGATTCTAGTCATCACTGTCTCCTTTGCCTGAGCACAAGGACAGTGTGTGTCACATCCCTCTTTATTGAGGAAGCTGTCCTGGCCTCTGCAGGATGTTCTGCAGTGTTCTTGCCCCTCCCCACTAGATACCAAAGATGCCTCCGTCTTCAGGGCAAAGCTGTGCTGACTGATTCACTGCTCTATTTCGTTTTCTCCAGTTTTGACGGAAGAAGAATCTTACTTACAGGCATTTTCCTATTCATAAATAAATAACACAAAAGTTTATTGCTTCAATGGCTGCTTTCTGTGTATCCAGCTAATCTACAAAATGAGGGGTGTGTGTGTGTGTGTGTGTGTGTGTGTGTGTGTGACTCAAGCTGTTGTAGTTCAGGAAGAAAACGTTCTGTAACATAGTTTTAAATCTTATCCTTTTTTCATCTATACCTTGACACATAATGTCTGTGCATACAGTAACTGATAACTATTAACTTCTACCATAAAATGCACAATGCATTCAACTCTGAGTATGCATTGGCTCTTCCCACTGTGTAGACCAAAATCCACAGACATTCAAGTCCGTTCTATAAAATGGTACAGTGTTTCCAGAGAGCCTATACTCTGGCTCCTATAAACTTTTAAATCCTCACCAGGCACTTAAGATATCCAATTTGATATAAATGCTATATGGTTGTTATTATACTAGATCATTTAAGGAATAAGGAAACATTTTAATGCTACTATAGTATTACTTTTCTTCCAAATATATTCAACTCATAGTTGGTTGAATTGGCAGATGTGGAACCCATGGACAAGGAGAGATGACTACATACCATTGGTTTAGTATTTATACTACATTTTATATATACATATATATATTATATATATATATCAATGCATATATGCAACTGTGGATTAATCTACACAAGTATTTATACGTAAATTATGGATGAATACATACACATGCACGGATATGCAGTCCAAAGGGTATACATAAAGCACTTTGGGCACTGGCCCAGCCGTGGCACAGCTCTTGTGTCTCTTCCTCATGTACTGGGAATCACTGTGAACAGGTATCTTGAAGTATGCACTCGCCTTCCTACTCTAGTCATGCTGGTCTTACTCTCCAATTCATCTTACTACCTCTTATTCTTCCCTACTGATTCAAGACTTCAAAGTCTACCTCAACTAGCAACTTTCCTGGGAACATTTCCCCTTCCATAGAGAACCATAATTTATGCCAATGGGTTTCCATTTCCCTTGGGTAAATATCATTCCTCTGTTTCAGCACTTATACGGTAGCATCACTGATTTTGCCACGATCTAGCTTTTTGTTACTGTATGAAGCATCTGTGGGTTGAAGCCACACCTTAGTAGTCACTGTACTCCTAAAACATTAAGTAGGACCTGGAATCTTTCAATATGGACTCAAAGAAGGACATTTTCTTCTTTCACTAATTTCAGAACCACAGACAGACTATAGCAGAGTCAGATACTTTGACCTGAAATCTACATTCTGAAAAAGTTCACCATATACAGAGGATCCCATTATCTGCAGAGAGTATAATCTGAGATCCAAGTTGATGCCTGAAACTATAAATAGTGCCATTTTATTTGTGCTATACTTTTGTTATATAGACATAGCTACGGAGAAGTTCCATGTGTTAATTAGGTAGAATAAGAAATAAAAAACAAATAATAGTATCATTTTAACAGTACATTTCTATAAAACATATGTGAATATTATCTATCTTTGTCACTGAAAATATCCACTCACTGTTTTCATACTGTGATTAATCATAGGTAACTGGAAGCATGGATAGGGTAACCATTGCTTTAATGGGGACTGTTGTACCCATATCAATCCATCACTACAAATCACATTTCTCACCATGCTGATACTGTCTTTGAACCAACACCACTTACAGCACTCCTGTGTTACTGTAACATTGTCAACATTTCCGTGGACCGTGCCAAATATAGTTGTCCATCCACTAGTGTCACCTGTGAAATGGTGATTAACACATGTCAGTCATTCTAGGAAGCACACATCATGCTACAAGCCAAACATATAAAACTGTGATAATGAAATGAAAGATTTAAGTCACAGAATAGAATAATCGAGGCTTTAAATGGATAGTATGAGAGAAAAAGGTAGGCAAACATCTGCAACACTTCCCTTTTTACAATGATAAATATTTCAGGTACATAGATCACAAAATACACAATGCAAATGTATAACTACTTTATATAAATTCATTGAAATATATCACCTATTTCTAATTAGGATATTTTAAATCTCAGAAAATCTTTGAGGATCTCAGAAGAAAATATAATCTAAATTTTCTTTCTCTCATGTGTAATCTTCTGCACAAGTACATGTAGATACATATTTGAAGGAAATAATGAGTTAGGATAAAATTTATGTCACCTGATATTTTTAAGTAGAGTTAAAGGCTACTGACAGGTCCAGATGTGGAGACATAGTGCAGGGTGCATCTCTGCATGCAGGCCAAAGATGGGCTCTCAGTGAAACTGTTGAATACTGCCTGACACAAGGAAGCTGGACTATCTGACATTGTCCATGGAAACACTTCAATAGCAGAATGATGGACTTAGGACTGTTCACGAAGGATTACCCATTGTGATACTAGAGGGGAAGTCAATAGGGGGTGGGGGGACTCGGGGAGGTGGACAGGAAACCCCAGAGTCTATGGAACTGTATTATAAACCACTACTGCTACTAAAGTTATAATGTTAATAAAGGGTACTGAGTCCTGGTGAAACAACTTCTCAATTTGTCGTGTGTTCATGTGATCTACTTATTGGCCAAGTTTCTTTCTTTTTTGGGGGTAAAAAATTTAGCCCACAAAAAGAAGGCCTAATTTTGAAGCATCTTAAACATGTACAACAAAGGTGGTAAGATATGCATTATAATGTCTTATCCTGAAGCTTGTACAAATCACAATTTATGACACTCAAATTTCTACAAGCCAAACAGTAAAATAATTGTCTTCAGGTTACTTCATTCTCTAACTTCTTTAATTTCTCACTCTCATTAATATATTAGCTAATAACACCCTTACACCTTCAATAGCATTATATGCACCTTCATGTGGCTTATTAAATCTATGCTCAGAACATCCTCGGGATTTAGACTAATATTCATTGTCTCTGACACTCATGCAACAAAGAGAAAAGGCTGAGGATATGGGGAACTCACTCGTGGCTACTCAAAAGGGTTTCCCCCATAATTGAACACTGAGCACCTTTCGGCTACGCTACTATTTTTGATTCTGCTGACATAAAACAAAGAAGACACAGGTTTCTTTGCAGAGACCCTTGATGTTTTGGAAGGCAACTACAGAGACGAGGCAGGGTACTGCATGTGCTGACACAGGCACACCCGAAGTGTTGTGGCTACAAGGAGGAATCGCTCCCAGTCTAGACAGGTGACAAACTTCCATGTGGCCAATATGACACCTGGACTCTGTCCTAAAGGCCGGTTAGGAGTATTGCATTGGAACCCTGGCCAGGAGGTGGTTTCCCTGGAAAGGAGGCATGTGTAAGGATGCAGAGGCAGAAGCGCAGACTTGAGAGCCAGATGCCTGGCATTCCTGGGCCTGGAGCCCCAGTCTGACTGCTGGTTGGGCAGTAAATGCCAAAGGGAGGATAGTTCTGTGTGGGGAAAACAACATGTGGCATTGTTTTAGATTTAGGAAGTCTGGGTTCCAATTAGACATGTCAACCTCTGGCATCACTTTCCCCCACAGAAAAAACAAGCTAGATTCTATAAGAAATATGGTCTCAATATTTGTGCTTAAAACTGGGCTGTACACCCCTATGTAATCTGGACTCACTCTTGTTTTTTTTTTTCCATTTTCTATTTATAAACTAGATAATTCTGCTCAAGTCATGCTGACTTTCCTGTCCCTGAAATACACTGTCTTGTTTCATTCATCGTCAGAGCCTTGTCACCGGCTGCTTTCTCTGCCAAGAATTCTAGTCCTCCAAAATATTTCATGCCAGTTTTCTTTTTCATTTACTTCTCAACTCCAATGTCATCATTGGAAAAGGTTTTCTCTGATTGCATCATTAGGGATGCTTCCCTTCAAACAACTTCCTTTTCTATCTTCCTTTTACAGATTTATTTATTTCTGTTAAAAGGGAGATTTACAGGGAGGAGGACAGACAGAGAAAAAGATCTTCAGTCCAATGGTTGACTCTCTAAGTGGCTGCAATGGCCAGAACTGAGCAGATCTGAAACCAATAGCCAAAAGCTTCTTCCAGGTCTCCCACACAGGTGCAGGAATCCAAAGCTGTGGGCCATCCTCCACTGTTTTACCAGGTCACAAGTAGGGAGCTGGATAGGAAGCAGAGCAGCTGGGACACAAATCAGCCCCAATACGTTATCCCAGTGCTTGAAAAGGGACTTATCCAATTGAGCCATTACTCTGAACACCCCTCTCCCAATAACTTCCAATGTTATGATTCTATTCTATTTTCTTCATGGTATGTATTGCTCTCGGAGATACTTTAACTTATTTATGTACATATTTACCTTCTCCTTGGTTTAGTTTGGCCATTAGAAACCCACATGGTTGAGATCCTTGTCTCTCTTGGGCCCCCTGAGTCCTGGGGGTTTGCAGAACTCCTGGCACATAGTGGGCACTAACTAGACAGCTCTTCAACCAATTAATTGGGCTTGTCTATACTAACTGGATATTCTTATGGCTAAATCAAATAGTCAACCACTTGATGGATAAGCATGCAAGGACAGGTTAAGGTCTAAACACATGGAAATGCAGGTCATTGCCACACAGAAATTGGGAAGTGATTATTTGTGTTGCAGCAGGATTTCCTATTGAATACCAAGTCATATCTTGCAGTTCATAATAACTCTCATTATAATTCCGTTCCTTCTGATTCATGATTGCAGGCAGCATTGGGGGAGCCCAGAGGGAGAACTCACCGCAGTTCTCTTCATCAGCGCCATTCCCGCAGTCATCTACACCATCGCAGTGAAAAGCACGTGGCAAGCATTTGCTCATATTTCCACAGGGAAAATATCCTTTTTGGCACAAAGGAATGACCACATTGCTTTTAGTTAGCGCAAAATCTGTGCAAAAGAGAGGATAAGATTATCACATAACAGAAACCAGCAGTGTCTGTGCCCAAATTCTTCCTATGTCTTCCCATTTGATTTTCTTGTGAGTTGAGCTTGCCTGGTATTATTTTAGTGCATGATGTCTAATCTTCTGAATGATAATTTGTATTTGAGAGGGCAGAGTTGGGGGGGGGGCGGGGAGGCAGAGAGGAAGAAAGTGAGAGTGTGTGAGACAGAAACGAACTCCCATTTGCTAGATTCCTATGCCCACAATGACTTTGGTTGGGCCAAGAATCAAGCCAGGAGCTGGAAATTCCACTCAGGTCTCCCACATGGGTAGAAGGAATCCAGTTACCATCTCAGTGGGTCTACATTACATTACTATCTCCAGGGATAGAGTAAATGTGGGCTGAGAACACAAAGACACTTCTACTCTGATTCTTGAGAAAATGTCCGGGTGTAAGCCTTGGGCTATAGGCAAAAGCTGCCTGTGGTGACCCCCAACAGCCTTGCCAAGGGTTCTCCTTAAGTGAGAGAGGCCTGCTGCCTCTCCTGGATCAGCAAATTAAGCCATTTTATAAAGGGCAGGAGTTTGGGACACCAAAGCTAAGCCAGACTCGCAGAAGCATGTGAAGCTGGTGTGACCGAGAACGTGAATGGATTATACAAGCACTGGTGCTAATGATCGTAGAGATCCATCAACTGGATGATGGCAGATGGCCTCGCTTCCTGGGGACAGATGGAGGTGCTGTGGCTGCTTCTCAGGCAGCTGTTGCTGCACTTTCCAGCACCTTCTGGAATAAGCAGATTGACCCCAGAGCAAGGCCTCAGGATGGTTGTTTGCTCACTGGTTGTTTGCTCTTACCAAAGCCAAGTGTTTTTCTCTGTGTTTTTCTCTGTGGGGGAGGGAATGATTTATTGTTGACCCACACCATTTCTCTTTTGAAAATTTCTCTTCTAATGTCTTTTCATTGACAATCTCTGATCAGAAACATTACCCTAGGCGTGCATTCTTTTAGATCAACATCTTGTCTTTTGGCGTTTAAATACTCACTTTTTCAACTTGCCATGAGAGCCTACTTCTTCCTAAATCCTACCTGAGCACAGCAAGTTCTGAGAATATACAGTGATGGATGAAGGGAGGAGAAAATGAGAAGTGTGGCTGTGAAGGAGAGAGACAAGATGAGGCCTGTTGGAAACCAGGCCCAGGAAATGTACAGAGGAGAGAAGGAGATCCCATCTTCCTTCAGTGTTCTTTCTTCTATGCTCTGATTTGTTGATAGCTTGTCTCCAGGATAGCCCATTGTCCATTTGTCCTCTTGGTAAACCTTTTTCCAAATCCTCATCTCACCCATTTACTGATTTGTTGCATATACCTTGGATGGCTGTGCCTTGCACAGAGAGAGGATCATGCTTGTACAGGCTGCTTCTGACAAGCCAGTTAGAAACCACATTCTGGACTGGTACACATATTTCACGATGTGCCAATGGTGAAGGTTCCCCTCCTGCCCACAGTAAAACTTCCTATGTCTGCTCTATGTTCCATTTGTATACCTTTCCTCAGATTCTCCATTAATTTCTTCCTTCTACATTTTCAAAATGTTTGCCTCTATGCTACATTTTTTTTTATTCAGGTCATTCATTCTATTACCAAACAACCAAGCAAACCTGCCCAGTTCCTGTCATATCTCCAGGCCTGTAGAACGAAGATGCTTGATGCTCTACTCCTCTTCATGGCTGGCTTTCTTAGAGGAAGCACAAAGCCAGGCCCTCTGCCTCCTGACCACCTTTCCATTCTCTGACTCGGAACTCTCAGTATTGGCCTTGATGCTTCATGGAAACAATGAATTCACTGAAGTCCTTTTGGTTTCTTCATCCATTCAGCATTTGTAGCCCTCATCTTATTTGTCCCCATCTGTCCCCCTGGATGAAAGCTCTTTCCCTTTAAGCTGTGAATTCTCACTATTCCTGGCTTTCTCTCCCTTCATAATGTCTGCAGCTTCCTTTCTTCCCCAATGATCTCTTGAATTAATCAGCTGCTTTGGTTTTGCCCATTCTACACATGCTGCACATCAGGTCAGAGCTATCCACTCTTTTGCATTACTCAGACCAGTGACATCAAGGACATACTTTACATGAACTTGTAAAAAGCTGCAGATTTTCTTTTTTTTGCTAAATGAGAATATTCAAAGGTGTTACCACTTTTTTACCATACATTTCATATTCATTTATCAGAAAAAAAATACCATTTCTTTGTTAGAAATTAGAGCACACACACTCATAGAAGAAGAGGCAAGCCCTTCAAAAGAATACATTTTGTTCTATGAGAAACTTCTTCATGCTCATGGATGGGTAAGAGGCTTTTCCCCAACAGCAGGAGTCTGGAACACAGTGTTTGGAACCCTGTGTGAGAAAACAGAATCTGCCAGTGGGACCAGCCTTCCGAGGGAGGTGAGCGCTCTGCTCCGCAGCTGGTGCCTTCTTGTTCCTTGCTTGTCACTTGACTGTAACTTTGCTTGAGAGAGAGCCTCCAGGGAGGGCAGCCGCTGACTCTACAATAATGGTGCAAGCTCAAAGGAGCAGGTAATTTGTTTGATTTAATAAAAGTTACCTATACACAGCCTTAGTGCACAGTGTATGTTATTGTGAGGGTTTTCTATTTCTGTGGCTGCTTGCTTTTGCACAGCCAGTGTGGAAGTACACCAGTGGTCTAGCCATCACAGTAGATAAAATAAAGCTGTCATTATTCATGAATGATCTATGAACATAAGATATCCAAAAATATTAATTGGTTAGTTAATCTAGCAAGGTTTCTATAAGGTCAATTATACATTAACAACAAGACATTAGGAATTAAAATGTTTAACAAAGACAGTCTAACATCAACAGTGTTATATATTTAGGAATGAATCTAATAACATGTGCAGGGCATTTACATAATGTACATAATATTATTAAAAGCTATTAAAGGCCTAATAAATGTAAGACTTAATGCTTTAATTACATTAATTTTTTCTCCAGATTGAGCTATACACTCAAAGCAACCTCAGTACAAAGCCCAGATCTGAGCATGTACAAGCACAGGTGTGGGTCTGTTTCTTTGGAAAGGTATGTGGTAAGTTAAGAGTCACAAAGAGCTGGCCACTCTTGAAGGACAGGGCAAGTGACTGTGTCTCTTGTATGTCAAGTCTTGCTATAAAGGTACAATAAGTCAGGTAGGGTATTCTTGGGGTAGAGACTGGAAAGTAGATTAATTGGACAGAACAGAAGTTTTGGTCACTGGCATGGCAGAGCAGGATGGGAGGCGAAGGTTGATATGAAGGGATTATAGGTTTAAATGGGAAAGGTTAAACAATAGAATCTCTGGAAGATAATTTAAGAAACTTTAGGGGAACACGAAAAAAAAAATAAAGGCAAAGTCAAACAAAAGCACTAGCCACAAATGAAAATCAAACTTCTGCTTAAAAATAGAAGAGATATTTAGAGGTAAGAGAGTGGAAATATCAGCGACAGAGTGAAGATATTTGCACAAAGTCTTAGTTAGACTATATGGGGATAGCTACCAGTCATTAAGGAATGGGAAAACAGGCAAGAGACTGAACACTCTGGTGAGAAGCATCTGAAAAGGCATTGCATCCAGTTCCCAGCCAAAGAAACACAAATGTCTTCATGCATATGTCTTAATATCACTACTGATTACCAAAATTGAAGCTTTGCAAATCCTAAGAATCAAGTTTTCCTCCTGGGAATATGCGCATAGGCATGCACAACAGGTGGGACTAGGGACTCATGTGACAATACTCACAGAGGGGTGGGCTTCTAGTATAGCAGTTAATGATGGGACATTCCTTTCCTGTATCCTAGTGCTGGTTAGAGTTGGGGCTGCTTCATGATCCAGCTTCCTGCTAATTCTCATCCTGAGAGAAAGACCACAGCTCAAATGCTTGGGTCCCTGTCTCTCACTTGGACGGCCTGGATTGAATTTTGATCTTCTGACTTTGGCTGGTGCACCCTGAGTGTGGCAGTCACTTGGAGAATAAATCACTAGATGGAATATCTTTCTCTCTAGGACCCTCATGTGCCTTTTAACTAAAATGAAAAGAAAAGACTAAAAATTAGGAATAATTAAGCATCATTCATAACAATCCCAGATGAGAAACAACCCAAAAAGGAAATGGATTAAAATTTAAAAAGTGGTGTCATTGTGGCACAGGTTAAGTTTCCTCTGGGGATGCTGGAATCTGCAGAGGAGTAATTGTTGACATTCCGGCTTCCTTCCTTCTGATCCAACTCCCTGCTGACGAAACAGGGGAAGATGGCCCAAGTACCAGGACCCCTACTATCCTTGAAGAAAATTCAGATGGGGTTCTTGGCTCCTGGTTTGGACTGGCCATAAGGGTAGTGAACTGATGGAGGTCTCCCCCACTGCCTGTCTCTCTTTCTCTCTGTTACTTGACTTTTTAAAAATGGTGCCACATTCCTCTATGGCATACTAGCAAATGAAAACATGGAAGTAGCCACAATCATTTCAGCCCCAGCTGAGTCAGTGGGCAGGTCTTCACCTTCTATAGATTTCTTGGGTGCCATTGATAAAACATTTGTGGCAGCTCTGACTTTGACGGTAATAAGAGACTTAGATGGTAATGTGTACTGCTCTCTGTATCAGAAACACCATTTATCCTGCTTTCTGCCATCATTGATAATCATCTTGGAAATCATTTTGGTGAAAAGTTTATTGATATATTCCAAGTGCAACATCCTCTTTTTTCTTCCCAAAATGTCTTACAGAAAACTCATGGCATTTCATTATGGTTTTAGATGTTTTTATGTTTCCCATAGTTTGCTGTGCACTCCTAATGGAAAGAAATTTATTTCATTGATGTTGCGTCTTCCAGTGGCTAGGAAAGGACTCAGTTCTTTGTGTGTAATTTGTGCTTCTGAATCACATATACTCGTGCGTGTGTGTGTGTGTGTGTGAGAGAGAGAGAGAGAGCGCCCAAAGAGCCCTCAAT